TGGCTCCGCCCCCACCAGGATTCCCCACACTGGGCCTGGCCCCCGCCTCGGGTTTTTCCAGGGCCCCTCCCATGCTCACCCGGAGTGCAGACCGTTTCGCAGACCAGCGGGCAGAGATAACAGAACTGACAGTGCTGGGGGGCGGGGGACAGGGAGAGAGACAAGTGAGCGTGCGGCGTGGCCGGGGCGGAGCTAGGACGGGGCCGGGACCAGACCCGGACAGAGGAGAGGTCTAGGTTAAGGTTGGAATCAGGATTGCTTGTGGAGTCGGGGTTGCATCAGGGGTAAGGGGTTGGGTCAGAGACCAGGATTTAGGGCTGGGGTCCTCAGAGCGTCCCGGTGCATTGTGAAGCCCAGTGGAGCCTTGAGTGTGAGGTGAGGTCTCACCTGGCACTGGTCGCAGTGCTCACCCATGCTGTCCTCATCACAGTGACAGCTCTCGCATTCCGTGCAACGCTGCGGACCAGGGGAGCCTGGTTAGACGGAAAGTCTAACCCCACTTGGGACATACCCGCCCCTGGTACACTCTTGTACCCTGGACGTTTCCCCAGACTCTAACCTCTGCAACCTCCGCCTCCCAGGGTTCAAGCGATTCTCCCACCTCAGCCTTCCGAGCAACTGGGATTACAGGCGCACACGACCACGCCTGGCTAATTTTTGTATTTTTAGTAGAGACAGAGACGGGGTTTCACTGTGTTGGCCAGGATGATCTCAATCTCTGACCTTGTGATCCACCCACCTCGGCCTCCCAAAATGCTGGGATTACAGGCGTGAGCCACCGCCCCCAGCTGACCCTACACTCTTTACCTCCAACACTGAGCTCCGTATCTGCCCCGGAAACCAGCCTCTCTCTCCTCTCCCTGCCCCTGGTTTTCTATCTCAAGGTGACCCCATCTCCCCCAGTCAGGGTGGGCTGGACTTCAGATACTCTCTCTCTCCCTATTCTCCCCCTGGCCTTTCAGCTCCTGTGCCGTCCCTCTTGCCCTCTGACTCTCTTTGCCACAGACCCCTGTCTCTGTCCCCACATCCTCAGATGCAGCTTGCGTCTTGTCCTTTCCTTCCTGGACCATTGCTCCAGCCTCTTCCGCAGCCTCTAGCCTCCGGTCTGTCCTCACCTCACGTCCCTGCAGGAGTATCTCCTTCCACTCAGAACTGACCCTGGCCTGCTCTTGCTCTGAGGCCTCCCATGGCACTACCCCAGGGCCCTGGGACAGATTCTGGAGACACCTTGGTGGGTGGATCTGGGCTGGGGACATACATTGCAGAAGGAGCAGTAGCCACACAGGGATCCTGGCTGGTAGTTCCCGTACTCCTGAGCATCCTGTGGACCTGCGGGGACAGGAGGGCAGCAGTGACCCAGGCTGACTCGGTTCCTCCCCACCCACACCGGGCTGGGCCATTTACCTGTGTCCTGCCCGCTTTCCTCCTCACTGGAGGCACCTCCAGCCTCCTCTCTCCCCTCCAGTGGGTTGGGGATGATGGTGAAGGGGAGCTCATCTTCCTCCAGCCCCTCCTCCTTCTCTTCTTCCTCCTCCCTGTGGTCTCGGCTTTGTGGGGCCCCAACCTCAGCCCTCTCTTCCCTCCTCTCCTCCCCTTCCTCCTCCTCCTCGTCCTCCTCTTCTTCCTCCGCCTGGTTCAGGTGGAGGCCATGACCTTCCTCCTCATCGTCCTCATCTTCCTGATCCTGGCTGCGATGGTGGGTGCCTTTCTCTTCCTGCTCTGAGCTTTCATCATCTTCCTCATGGGAGCTGGGGTCCTCTTTCTCCTTTTCCACCTCAGAATCATCCTCCCTCACATGGTTTCTATCCTTAACCGCTATGTGTCCTGGGGGGTGGTGGCTCATCTCTTCAATGGACTCTGCTTGACCGTGGCCAGTTTCTTCATCTTGGTGGCTTTGCTTGTGGCTGGGGGCCTGGTGGCCAAGCTCAGCAGAGATGTCCTCATCTTCCCTGGGGACCCTGTGGTGGTGACGGTGAGGGACTTCTGTTTTATACTCCTCTAGGGTGTCCTCCTCACCATGCTTGTGGCCTGCAGGTCGGTGGCTTGCAGCATGGTGGCTGAACTGGACTGCGATCTCCTCTTCTTCCTCCTCCTCATCTGCAAGGCCATGGTGGACATGGGGGCCCTGGCGCCAATGTTCAAGGAACACATCCTCATCTTCTTCCTCATCTCTGTGGCCTACATGCTCGTGGTCAGGGACGTGATGATGGTGGTGTTCACCTGACACAGCCTCGTTCTCTTCCTTTCTGTGGCCTCGGGGCCTGTGGGCCTGGTGTCCATGCTCAGCGGAGACGTCATCATCATCATCATCATCATCATCATCAACATCATCATCTTCTTTGTGGCCTCGGTGCCTGTGGCTGGCGCCATGATGGTGGTGTCTCTCTGAGATATTCTCATCCTCTTCACTCCCGTGGCCTTGGTGCCTGTGGGCCTGGTGTCTATACTCAGTGAAGACGTCATCATCATCATCATCATCATCATCATCATCATCATCGTCATTCTCATCTTCTTCGTGGCCTCGGTGCCTGTGGCTGGCGCCATGATGGTGGTGTCCCTCTGAGATATTCTCATCCTCTTCACTCCCGTGGCCTGGGTGCCTGTGGGCCTGGTGTTTATATTCAGTAGAGACATCATCATCATCGTCATTGTCGTCATCTTCGTGGCCTTGGTGCCTGTGGCTATGGTGGTGGCATCCATCTGAGACATCCTCATCTTCTTCAGTCTCATGGCTTCGGTGCCTGTGGGCCTGGTGCCTATACTCAGTGGAGACCTCCTCCTCCTCTTCCTCCTCCTCTTCCTCCTCCTCTTCTTCTTCATCATCTTCAACATCGTGGCCTCGGTGTCCATGCCTGAGGATATGATGGCGAGGCTCATGGGACACGGACTTCGTCCTCATCCTCGTCTTGGTGGCTGTGGCGCCTGTGGCCGGGGGTGTGATGCCTGTGCTCCGCTGAGTCTTCCGTGTCTTCACTCTCATGGCCTCTGTGCCCATGGGCCTGCCCACCATGCTCTGCGAAGACCTCCTCACCTGAGACATCCTTGTCTCTGACCTCGTGGTCTTGGGACCTGTGGTCTGTGGCGTGGCCGTATTCCTTGGAGACATCCTCATCCTCCTCTTCACCGTCTGGATGACCCCAGAAAGTGATGCCCCTTCTCCATGGAGACATCCTCGTTCTCGTCTGGATGGTCTCTAGGGCTGTGGAGGGGGTGGCCAAGCTCTGCCGATGACTCCTGGGAGGGCCCAGCGGCTCCAGCATTGTTGTTCCGGTTGCTGAAGCCCAGCCCGGCCCCTCTTAGCTGCTGGGTCACGGCCGGGGGGAGGAGCAGGCTGGCCACTGCAGCCCAGAGGACAGAAGTGTGCAGCCATGGCCTACGGTGGCCCATGGGGACGGACGGGCAGCAGAGCTTCTCCTATAGCAGCGGCTCCAGCTGCCTCTGCGGCTCGGTGGATGAATATTGGGGTCTGTTGCTTTGGGGTCTGTCTCTTTTTTTCTCTGTGTCTCTGCTTAGTCCTCTCAGTCTCTGTCCACCTTCCTCTGGTCCTTGCTGCCTAGCTCTGGACACCCCTCTGAGGCTGACTCAGGGCCCCCTGACCCCCCTCCAGGGCCCTCCCTCCCCACTCCCCAGCCAATAGGGCCTTTCCCCTCCCCTCTCTCCAGCTAAATTTACTCTCAGCCCTGAGTTATTCTGGGTCAGTCCCCCGCCTGCCCGCCTCCTACTCCTCCTCCTCCCAGCTGGGGAGGGGGCCTGCGGAGGGGTCTCTCCCTGGCCAGGAGATGGAGATCAAGGGGCTTGACTCTGGCCTGCCAGCAAGCTCATGCTCAGCAGCTGCAAAGACAAAGGCTAGACTTTTAGCAGGTCAAGTTCAGGGACCCTGGGGTACCTGGGGGAGGCAGAGGGGAGAGACCCCAGCGATGGAAGGACTGGGGGTTGGATTGCGGGGAGTTTCCAGCCAGAATGACAAGTGTTGGTGAGAAAGTGATGTCAATTTCAAGGCCCTGGAATTGGGAGAAGGAACATGGCCCTCAACACAGGCACCCATGACCTCCTGTCCCTGGAACTCAGATCTGGGGGCAGGGACTGGGCCCTGGCCAGGGCTATAAATATAGCTGGGAGGGCTGGGGGGGACTCAGGTTACGGAGGCCACAGCTGTCCCCATCATAGAGGGCTGGCAGGAGACACGTGGCTTTGCCCGTCTCTCTGTCAGTATCTCCCCTCCTCACCTGTCGTGACTGCCCCACTCAGGGTCTCCTTTCCTGTTCATGGGTCCTCCTCTCTCTTCCATTCTATCACCTGCTCTCTCATGGTCCCTGTCCCCCTCCATGGGACTGCCTCTCCCTCTCACTCTGGGCTCTGTCCCCCTCTCATCTGAGTGTCTGTCCTTCACCCAAGTCTGTGTCCCCCTCTCTCCTCTCAATCTCTGTCTTCTCCTTTCTGAGTTCTTGCCCTTCGCCCCACTCTGGTTTTTCACTACCCTCTGCCCCTTGTCTCAGTCAAGGTGGCTCCTCTGCCATCGCTGGCATCCACCTCTCTGGGTCCAAGTCCCCCTCTCCCTTCATCTCTGTCCCCACCTCTGAGTCTCTGTCCCCGCCTTGTTGAGTCTCCATCCCCCTCTCTCTGGGTCTCTGTCCCTCTGTCTCTGGGTCTCTGTCCTCCTCTCTCTCTGGGTCTCTGTCCCCCCACCCCGGGTCTCTGTCCCTCTTTCTCTCTGGGTCTCTGTCCCCCTCTCTCTGGGTCTCTGTCCCTCTCTCTCTCTGGGTCTCTGTCCCTCTCTCTCTCTGGGTCTCTGTCCCTCTCTTTCTCTCTGGGTCTCTGTCCCTCTCTCTCTCTCTGGGTCTCTGTTCCCCCACCCCGGGTCTCTGTCCCTCTTTCTCTCTGGGTCCCTGTCCCCCTTTCTCTCTCTGGGTCCCTGTCCCCCTTTCTCTCTCTGGGTCCCTGTCCCCCTCTCTCTCTGGGTTTCTGTCCCCTTCTCTCTCTGGTCTCTGTCCCCCTCTCTCCCTGGGTCTCTGTCCCCCTCTCTCTCTGTGTGTCCACCTCTGGGTCCTTGCTGCCCCACCCTCTGACCCCTGCCCCTAATCTCTGTCTCACTCTCTTTGGGTTAAAGTATCCCCTCCCTGTCTGGCATCCCCCTTTCTGATCTCTGTTCCCTCTGCGCCACCGGCCCCCCCACTCCTTCTGTCCCCCTCTTGCACTGTCCCTCGGAGTCTCCCCTATGTGTCCCTCGCCCCCCACAGCCCCCCGGCCCGGGCCTCTGCGTCCCGGGGTCGCGGTCCCTCGGTCCCTTTATCGCGGCCTCGGGCCCGCCCTCTCTCCGCCTCCCGCTTTGGCGTCTCCAAGACTCCCCGCCCCTCAGACCTCGCCCCGCCCAGGCTGGGCTGGAAAGTGGCGGATCCGGTTTGTCCTGGGCGGGTCTGGAAGCGGAGCCGGCGGAGGGAGCGCTGGGGCCCGGGGCTACCGGAGGTTGCGGACCACGGCAGCATGGTGGTGCCGGAGAAGGAGCAGGTGAGCCCCGGACCGGGGTCTGCGGGAGCGCGGAGCTGGGGGCCTTACCCCTAGGTTCTCAGTGAGGAGGGCGCTGGACACCCGATTCCTGGGTCAGACGCTGGAGGGGGATGGGAGGGTCGGGGTTCCAGGGTCCCGGGCGTGGGGGTCGAGACTCCTGAGTCTGGAGCAGGAGGGCGCTGGGGGCCCGGACTCCTGTGTCCGTGGGGAGCGCACGGGGTGGGTGGCTCTGTGTCCCATAGGGCAGAACGGGGGGCCCCCCACCCCACTTCCACCCCGACACTTGTTCCTGTGCCCAGAGCTGGATCCCCAAGATCTTCAGGAAGAAGACCTGCACGACGTTCATAGTCGACTCCGCAGATCCGGGGTGAGGAGTTCTCCCCGGGACTGACCCCGGAGGGTCCGCAGCCCACTGACCCCGCCCACAGGCCACGCCCACCACGGGGCCACGCCCCTGTCACACCCCTTTCCCCATTCTCGGACTCGGGGACCTTCCCAAGGGCGTTCCCTGCCGGCGCTCTCCATCTAGGAAGGTTTGGCTCTGTGTAGACACCCCCCCACACACTGCCCATTTGCCATTCTCCCGCCCGGGGTCCCTGTAGACGCTCCAGAGCTCGGTTCTGTTTCTTTCCACCCCAGTGTCTCTTCTGTGTGTCTCTGTCTCTTCGTGTCATTTTTGGTGTCTCTTGTCTTTCCCTTTTGGGTATGTCTGTTTCGTTCATTAGTTTATTCATTCATTCATTCATCCATCCATGCAAGAAACCCTCACTCAGCGCTCCCAAGGGAGGAGGTCCCTTTAGTCTGATTCAACGGCCCTGCCAGGGTTCAAATTTCCCTTAGGACACGTGCCATGTGGCTTTGGGCAAATCATTTCACCTCTCTGGGTCCTGTTTCTCATCTGAGCTTAAAAAGAGGCTTGACCTCCTGGGGTTCTTATGAGAATTAAACAAGTTAATGCTTGTGATATTCCTGGAACAGTGCCCAGCGCAGAACATGGGAAATCTCTGCAGTTCCCGCTGGGAGGTGACAATTATTACTGCCTCCTGACCTGGCCCTGTGCTGGCCCGGCCCAGAGGCAAGCCCTGTGCTGGGTGGCCAGGGAAGCCACTTGACCTAGATAGGGTGTGTGCATCCTCTAGGAGCTCCTGGCCTTCAGTGATGGCCTCTGAACCGGATTCAGGCTTTCTAGTTTTTTACATTTTTTTTTTAAGACATTCTGGCTCTGTCGCCCAGGCTGGAGTGCCATGTCACGGTCTCGGCTCACCGCAACATCCACCTCCTGGGTTCAAGCAATTCTTGTGCCTCAGCCTCCCAAGTAGCTGGGATTACAGGTGCCCACCGCCACGCCCAGATTATGTATTTATTTATTGAGATGGAGTTTTGCTCTTGTTGCCCAGGTTGGAGTGCAATGGCATGATCTCGGCTCACTGCAACCTTGCCTCGAAGGTTCAAGCGATTCTTCAGCCTCAGCCTCCCTAGTAGCTGGGATTACAGGCATGCGTCACCACGTCTGGCTGATTTTCTATTTTTTAGTAGAGATAGTGCTTCTCCAGCCAGAGTTTGCCGGGTATCAGAGGTCATCCTGAGGGGCTGGGACTTTGTCCTCGGGAGCTGGGGCGTCACCGCAGGGGTGGGGTTGGCTCTGCATGTGGAGAAGCCTTCCAGGGCTGGGAGAGGATGAACAGGAGGCTGGATAGAGGGTCCGAGCAGGAGGTGAAGTGGCCTGAGCCAGCTCAGAGCTTTTGGGACACAGACAGGAGGGGACGGGGCGAAGACTCAGGGGACAGGAAGATAGAGCTTGGGGACTGATACAAGGGAGAGAGGCGCACCCATCGATGGATGGCTCCCGGAGGATGTGTGGTCTGCTGACTGGGACACGGCGGGGCTGTTCCTGAGATGGAGAACTCGGGAGCATAAGCAGGCCTGGGAAATTGTCGCTGAGTGTAGCCTGGGACTCTGTGCGCATGAGTGGCCCTGGGGGACCCGGGGGCATGTGGAGACTGAGACTTGGGAAAGGTCTGGACTGATGTCCAGGATCTGAGAGGTCCGAGTTGTAGATGGTAATTGAAACTGAGAGTAGATGAGATGTCACGCGGGAAAAAAACGTGTCAAGTCAGGGGAGTTGCAAGCTGGCGATTCTATGGCCAGTTTGTGTGTATGTGTGTTTCGAAGAGCATTTAGGCCAGGCGCAGTGGCTCATGCTTATAATCCCAGCACTTTGGGAGGCCAAGGCAGGCATATCATGAGGTCAGGAGTTCGAGACCACCCTGGCCAATATGCTAAAACCCCATTTCTAGTAAAAAATACAAAAAATTAGCCGGGCATGGTGGCAGATGCCTGTAATCCCAGCTACTCAGGAGGCTGAGGCAGGAGAATCTCTTGAACCTGGGAGGTGGAGGTTGCAGCGAGCTGAGATTGTGCCACTGCACTCCAGCCTGGGTGACAGAGTGAGACTCTCTCTTAAAAAAAAAAAAAAGCACTTAAAAATATCTGCTTTCTGTCTCTCTTTTTTTTTTGAGACAGGGTCTCGCTCTGTTATCCAGGCTGGAGTGGCACGATCATAGTTCACTGTGGCCTTGACCTGCTGGACTCAAGCAGTCCTTCTACATGAGCATCCCCAGTAGCTGGAACCACTGCCATGACTTGCTAATTTTTAAATTTTTTGTAGAAAATACTCGGGTGTATTTTTTTTTTTTTTTTTTTTTTTTTTTTTTTTAGTCTTCCTGTGTTGCCCAGAAGATATCGAACTGATATTGAACTCCTGGGCTCAAGCGATCCTCCCACCTCATCCCACCAAAGTGCTGGAATTACAGGCGTGAGCCACCACACCTGGCTACTTCTTTTTTTTTCTTTTTCTTTTTTTTTTTTTTGAGACGGAGTCTTGCTCTGTCATCCAGGCTGGAGTGCAGTGGCACAATCTCAGCTCACTGCAACCTCTGCCTCCCAGGTTCAAGCAATTCTCCTGCCTCAGCCTCCTGAGTAGCTGGGATTACAGGCGCCCGACACCACACCAGGCTGATTTATGTATTTTTAGTAGAGATGGGGTTTCAGTGTTGCCCAGGCTGGTCCCGAACTCCTGACCTCAAGTGATCTGCTCGCTTCAGCCTCCCAAAGTGCTGGGATTAAAGGCGTGAGCCGCCACGCCTGGCCCTGGCTACTTCTTTCTGTTGAGTTACTCGCCTGGCCTCTGCAAGCATCGAGTTTGAGAATCATGTGGAATCATGTAATTATCATGAAAATCATGTAGTGTCATGTAATCATCATGGGAATCATGTGAGCGTCACACTGGGAATCCCTACACTCAAGGGAGGTGAAAAGGAAGAGAAAGCCACAAACGAGGCAGGCGTGTAGCAGCCGGGGCGGGAGGAAGGCCAGCGAGGCAGGCGTACCCTGCCAAGGAAAGGGTTTTCCAGAATGAGAGCCTTTCAGCTGTGGCCAGAGCCACTTGTGATGCAGTCAGATGAGATCTGAATAGGGGCTGTTGTGTATGGGACCAGGCAGGTAATTGCTGATTTTTATCAAGAACAATTTCAGGCCGAGCGCGACGGCTCACGCCTATAATCCCAGCACTTTGGGAAGGATCACAGAGACAGGGTTTCACCATGTGGGCTGGACTGGTCCTGAACTCCTAATATCGGGTGATCCTCCTGCCTTGGCCTTGCAAAGTGCTGGGATTACAGGCGTGAACCACTGCACCTGGCCTGAATTTTTTATTTGATTTTAATTTTAGCTTATGAGAATGGACAGAGCCCCATGGATATAAAGAACCCCATGTGGCTATTGTATTGGACGCATAGGCTCTGGACCATTCCTTGAAGACCTTTTAGTTAATTAATTAATTTATTTTATTTTTATATATTTTTTTGAGATGGAGTCTTGCTCTCGTCGCCCAGGCTGGAGTGCAGTGGCACCATCTCAGCTCACTGCATCCTCCACCTCCTGGGTTCAAGTGATTCTCCTGCCTCAGCCTCCCGATTAACTGGGACTATAGGCGTGCACCACCACGCCCGGGTAATTTTTTGTATTTTTAGTAAAGACGGGATTTCACCATGTTAGCCAGGATGGTGTCCATCTCCTGACCTCGTGATCCACCTGCCTCCGCCTCCCAAATTTCTGGGATTAGAGGCGTGAGCCCCCTCACCTGGCTATTTTTGAGATGGAATCTTGCTCTATCACCCACCCAGTCTGGAGTGCAATGGTGTGGTTTCAGCTCACTGCAACCTCCGCCTCCTGGGTTCAAGCGATTCTCCTGCCTCAGCCTCCCAAGTAGCTGGAACTACAGGAGCATGCCACCACACCTGACTAATTTTTGTATTTTTAGTAGAGATGGGGTTTCGCCGTGTTGGCCAGGCTGGTCTTGAACTCCTGACCTCATGATCCACTCGCCTTGGCCTCCCAAAGTGCTGGGATAACAGGCATGAGCCACCACACGCAGCCTATTTTTTATTTTTACTTTTAGTGACATGGTCTTGCTCTGTCACCCAGGTTGGCCTGCAGTGGTGTGATCGTGGCTTACTGCAGCCTTGAACTCCTGAGCTCAAGCGATCCTTCAGCTACTGTCTCCTGAGTAGCTGGAACCACAGGCTTGCACCACCACACCTGGCTAATTTTTAATTTTTTTTTTTTTTTGTAGGGATGGGGTCTTGCTCTTTTGCCCAGGCTGTTCTCAAACTCCTGGGCTCAAGCGATCCTTCTGCCTTGACCTCCCAAAGTGCTGCAATTATGCCCAGCTGTCCTTGAAGTTTTGCTCAGAAGAGCAAACTTCCCGGGAAGTAGCTGCCGGGGAACTGGGAGGTCCGAGGATGGAGCTGAAATAGGCGACAAAGTGGGCAAACTGAGGCATGCCAGGGCCCTGGAGGTAGCTCTCGCTGTGCCCGGACCTGGCCTACGTGTGCTTGGTTCATCCCGCGTGTGGATCGGTCAGCTGCTTTAGTGTCTTTACGGTTTTGGTGAAATCCTTGTAGCACCTCTGCTATCCCTTCTGCAAAATTGCTCTTAAATCCGCTCACACGGTTTGCGTAAATACAGGTCTCACAGGACTCCCCCGATAACTGAACTCCTGGAATCGGGCACAAAAGAAATTAGATACATTTTTCCTCTCTCCCTCTCTCCTTCCCTCCCTCCCTCCCTTCCTTCTCTCTCTTTCTCCCTCTCTTCTTTCTTTCTTTCATTTTTCTTTTCTTTTCTTTCTTTCTTTTTTTTTTTTTGAGACGGTTTTGCTTTTTTCACTCAGGCTGGAGTGCAGTGGTGTGATCTCAGCTCACTGCAACCTCTGCCTCCCAGGTTCAAGTGATTCTCCTGCCTCAGCCTCCCGAGTAGCCCTTGAGATGACAGGTGCCCGACACCATACCCAGCTAATTTTTGTATTTGTTAAGTAGAGACAGGATTTCGCCATCACCATGTTGGCAAGGCTGGTCTCGAACTCCTGACCTCAGATCATTCACTCTCCTCTATCTCCCAAAGTGCTGGGATTACAGGCGTGAGCCACCGCACCCGGCCAACTTGTGCATTTTTTTTAGTCAGGGGAAAGTTTTTTATGTGATCACCATAAATGGAAAACTTCTTCCATTTGCTGGAAAGAGAAAGAAGCCACACAAGCCAAACACAATGAAAAGCAAACAAAGGTGTTTCCCTCCTAGCTAGATGGCTGTTGCCGGCTCAGGTTTTTGAGCCCGAAGCCTGCTTTTCTCCTTAAAAAGAGTAGCAAAGGGTTAGGCATTCAAAAATATTCTGACACCCGGCTCAGCCTCTCTCCTTGACGGTCGTCAGGAGAACTGAAAAAGGAATGACTTTCTTGCTGCGTTATTCAAGGTTATTTAAAGCTGTGTGAAGTTCGCATCGCGTTGCCTCTGGCTGGGACTCTGGCATGCCAGTCTCATTTCAGAAAACTGCGTTCTTTCCCTGGCTCCTCATAGCTCTGTAGAGTAGGCTGCGCTATTATTGTGTTTTCATCAGGAGGAAATCTAGGCTCAGAGAGGTGAAGCCGCTCACCCAGAGTCACACAGCCGCATCTGCCCCTAGCATATGGGCTCTCCCTGAGTTAATCCCTGGATCTTTCTTTCCTTTTCCTTTTCTTTTTTTCTTATACGGAGTCTTGCTCTGTTGCCCAGGCTGGAGTGCAATGGCACAATCTTGGCTTACAGCAACCTCCGCCTCCCGGGTTCAAGCAAGTCTCCTGCCTCGACCTCCTGAGTAGCTGGGATTACAGGCACCTGCCATCACGCCCGGCTAATTTTTGTATTTTTGGTAGATATGGGGTTTCCTCATGTTGGCCAGGCTGGTTTCGAACTCCTGACCTCAGGTGATCCGCCCGCCTCAGCCTCCCAAAGTGCTGGGATTACAGGCGTGAGCCACCGCGCCCAGCCTCGATTTTCCTTTCCATGGTGAGCACCACGTGTGTGGATGGGGGATGGCGAGGACACCCCCGATGGGCGTCTGCCTTTCACTTGAGGCTCTGCAGGTGACAGTGACTGACCTCTTCATGTTCAGACTTTCTGGAGTCACTGGCTTCCTTCTCGTGGGGAAGGGGGACTGTCCTCTGCTCCAGTCTCTCCCTGGGGTGGTCGGAGCCAGGGTCAGGGGCAGAGCGGACTCTGACTGCCTCTGGATATGGAGTCAGTATAGACAGCCCCTCGACAGAAGTATGAACATGCAACAGAATGCTGGGGCGGGGAGGGCAGCCCTGGGTTCACACTCCGCCCTCAAACCCCCAGAGGGACCTTGTGCCAGTGTGGGCGCCCCCGGACCGCCCACCCTGCCGTGGCCACGGAGGATGCCTTCGGGGCAGCCGTGGTGACCGTGTGGGACAGCGATGTGCACACCACGGAGAAGCCCACCGACGCCTACGGAGAGCTGGACTTCCTGGGGGCCACCCGAAGGCACAGCCATGTGAGGCAGCCTGTCTGCGGGCCTGGGTGCTGGAGGGCTGCATGCTCAGGGCTCAGAGTGGAGCCGGGACCCCCAAACGCTGCCCCTCCGCCCACCCTGTCTTTGCTCTCTGTGTCCCCTGCACCCCACCTGTCTTCTCTCCGACGGGATCCCCTTCCTCTCTCGGTCTCTGTGCCTCCTCGTCTCGCTCTCCCCCTGTCTCTGTCCTTCTCTCTCTCCGGGTCTCTGTCCCCCTCTCTCTCTGGGTCTCTGTCCCTCTCTCTCTCTGGGTCTCTGTCCCCCTCTCTCTCTGGGTCTCTGTCCCTCTCTCTCTCTGGGTCTCTGTCCCCCTCTCTCTCTGGGTCTCTGTCCCTCTCTCTCTCTGGGTCTCTGTCCCCCTCTCTCTCTGGGTCTCTGTCCCTCTCTCTCTCTGGGTCTCTGTCCCCCTCTCTCTCTGGGTCTCTGTCCCTCTCTCTCTCTGGGTCTCTGTCCCCCTCTCTCTCTGGGTCTCTGTCCCTCTCTCTCTCTGGGTCTCTGTCCCTCTCTCTCTCTGGGTCTCTGTCCCCCTCTCTCTCAGGGTCTCTGTCCCTCTCTCTCTCTGGGTCTCTGTCCCCCTCTCTCTCTGGGTCTCTGTCCCTCTCTCTCTCTGGGTCTCTGTCCCCCTCTCTCTCTGGGTCTCTGTCCCTCTCTCTCTCTGGGTCTCTGTCCCCCTCTCTCTCTGGGTCTCTGTCCCTCTCTCTCTCTGGGTCTCTGTCCCCCTCTCTCTCTGGGTCTCTGTCCCCCTCTCTCTCTGGGTCTCTGTCCATCTCTCACTAGGTCTCTTTCCCTTTCTGTCTCTGGGTCTCTGTCCCCCTCTCTCTCTGGGTCTCTGTCCATCTCTCTCTGGGTCTCTGTCCCCCTCTCTTTCTCTGGGTTTCTGTCCCTCTCTCTCTGGGTCTCTGTCCCCCTCCCTCTCTGGGCCTCTGTCCCCCTCTCTCTCTGGGTCTCTGTCCCTGTCTCTCTGAGTCTCTGTCCCCTCCCTGTGTCCCCCTTCCCATGTATCCACAGTTTCTCCGGCTTTCTGACCGAACGGATCCAGCTACAGTTTATAGTCTGGTCACACGCACGTGGGGCTTCCGTGCCCCAAACCTGGTGGTGTCAGTGCTGGGGGGATCAGGGGGCCCTGTCCTCCAGACCTGGCTGCAGGACCTGCTGCGTCGTGGGCTGGTGCGGGCTGCCCAGAGCACAGGTGACCGAGTGGGTGGGGCCGTCTCCCAGGCCTCTGTCTGCCTGCCATCTCCCCGCCATGCTGCGGGTCTCCCCCACCCCCCAGTCTCTCTGTGTGTGTCTCTGTCTGACTCTTGGTTTCTCTCCCTCTGTCTCTGCATGTTCCTCGGTGTCTGTAGGGGCCTGGATAGTCACTGGGGGCCTGCACACGGGCATCGGCCGGCATGTTGGCGTGGCTGTGCGTGACCATCAGACGGCCAGCACTGGGGGCACCAAGGTGGTAGCCATGGGTGTGGCCCCCTGGGGTGTGGTCCAGAAAAGAGACATCCTCATCAACCCCAAGGTATGACCCAGGGACTTGGAAAAGGAGGGGCTGGGGCCTGGACTCCCGGGTCTGAGGGAGGAGGGGCTGGGGCCTGGACTCCCGGGTCTGAGGGAGGAGGTGGGGCTTGTGTCTGTCCTTCTGGCCCTGACTCGGAGGCGCGCTGAACTGGCCGTTTTTCCCTTAGGGCTCGTTTCCTGTGCGGTATGATTGGCATCACGACCTGAAGGACGGGGTCCAGTTTCCCCTGGACTACAACTACTCGGCCTTCTTCCTGGTGGACGACGGCACGCACGGCCGTCTAGGGGGCGAGAACCGCTTCCGCTTGCGCTTGGAGTCCTACATCTCCCAGCAGAAGGCGGGCGTGGCGGGTGAGTGGCCTCTGGAGACCCACCGCCCACGACCCATCGCCCATGGCCTGGCGCTCAGGATGCCAGTAGTCTGGTCTGGTCGAAATTTGGGGAATTAAGTGTCTTTCCCCATCATTTTTCAGGCTTTTTTTTTTTTTTTTTTTTTTTTTTAAGACAGGGTTTCGCCAGGTGCGGTGGCTCAAGCCTGTAATCCCAGCACTTTGGGAGGCCAAGGTGGGTGGATCACTAGGTCGAGAGATCGAGACCATCCTGGTCAACATGGTGAAACCCCGTCTCTACTAAAAATACAAAAAAATTAGCTGGGCATGGTGGCGCGTGCCTGTAATCCCAGCTACTCAGGAGGCTGAGGCAGGAGAATTGCCTGAACCCAGGAGGCGGAGGTTGCGGTGAGCCGAGATTGCGCCATTGCACTCCAGCCTGGGTAACAAGAGCGAAACTGTCTCAAAAAAAAAGATGGGATTTCACCATGTTGGTCAGGCTGGTCTTGAACTCCTGACCTCAGACGATCCGGCCGCCTTGGCCTCCAAAGTGCTTGGATTATAGGCATGAGCCACCACTCCTGGCCCATTTTTCATGCTTTTACAAACCTCTATGTGTGAGTGAGGTAGCTCACATCCATAATCCCAACACTTTGGGAGGCCAAGGCAGGAGGATTGCTTGAGGCTGGGAATTCAAGACCAGCCTGGTAACAGAGCGAGACCTCATCTCTACCAAAAAAGTAAAAAATAAAAAAAATTACCCAGGGGTGGTGTCATGTGCCTCTAATCCCAGCTACTCAGGAGGCTGAGACAGGAGAATCGCCCGAACCTGGGAGGTAGAAGTTGCAGTGAGCCGAGGTCACGCCATTGTACTCCAGCCTGGGCGACAGATCGAGACTCCATCCCAAACAAACAAACAAACAAACTTTATTTTGGAATCTCTCATGCCTGCAGAAAAATGCGGGAAGGTGGACGAGGGCTTGATGTGTTTTTTTGTTTTTTTTTGTTTTTTTTTTTTGAGATGGAGTCTTACTCTGTCACTCAGGCTGGAGAGAAATGATGTGATCTTGGCTCACTGCAACCTCTACCTCCAGGGCTCAAGGTATCTTTTCCACCTCAGTCTCCTGAGTACCTGGAACCACAGGTGCCCATCATCATACCACGCCCGGCTAACTTTTTGTATTTTTGGTAGAAGTGGGGTTTTGCCATGTTGCCCAGGCTGGTCTCAAACTCCTGACCTTGTGATCCACCCACCTCGGCCTCCCAAAGGCTGAGATTACAGGCGTGAGCCACCATGCCCGGCAACAAAATGTAAAAAGCTACATTTATATGGTGTCTATTGCTATAAAAAACGGCTACCATTTTTATGGGGTTAGATCTCTGTTTTGTCTCTTTTATAACCTCCTTGGTTGCCTGTCTTAGAAAGGCCCCTCCCACTCCCAGACAAGCGTTCTCTTCAGTCTTCTTTTAATATCTCATAGTTTTATATTTAAACCTCTAATCCATCTGGAAATGATTTTTACATATTTTGAGGTCAGGCATCTATATTTCTTTTCTTTTCTTTTTTTTCTTTTTTCTTTGAGACGGAGTTTCGCTGTTGTTACCCAGGCTGGAGTGCAATGGCGCAATCTCGGCTCACCGCAACCTCCGCCTCCTGGGTTCAGGCAATTCTCCTGCCTCAGCCTCCTGAGTAGCTGGGACTACAGGCACGAGCCCCCATGCCCAGCTAATTTTTTTGTATTTTTAGTAGAGACGGGGTTTCACCATGTTGACCAGGATGGTCTCGATCTCTTGACCTTGTGATCCACCCGCCTCGGCCTCCCAAAGTGCTGGGATTACAGGCTTGAGCCACTGTGCCCGGCCCCTTTTTTCTTTCTTTCTTTTTTTTTTTTTTTGAGACAGAGTCTGGCTCTTATCCAGGCTGGAGTGCAATGGCATGATCTCAGTTCACTGCAACCTCCACCTCCTGTGTTTGAGCAATTCTCCCCTCTCAGCCTTCCGAGTAGTTGGGATTACAGGTATATGCCACCACGCCCAGCTGATTTTTTGTATTTTTAGTAGAGACGGGGTTTCAATATGTTGGCCAGGATGGTCTCAATCTTCTGACCTCGTGATCCCGCCTGCCTCAGCCTCCCAAAGTGCTGGGATTACAGGCGTGAGCTGCCACGCCCTGCCAGGAGTCTATATTTCTGTTCGTCCAAATGAGAAGCCATTTTCTTTATGACCATTTAGTAAATAAACCATCCTTTCCTAGCTGAATAGAAATTCTTTTTTTTTTTTGAGACGGAATTTCGCTGTTGTTACCCAGGCTGGAGTACAATGGCACGATCTCGGCTCACTGCAACATCCGCCTCCTGGGTTCAAGCAATTCTCCTGCCTCAGCCTCCTGAGTAGCTGGGACTACAGGCACGCACCACCATGCCTAGCTTATTTTTGTATTTTTTGTAGAGACGGGGTTTCACCTTGTTGAGCAGGATGGTTCGATCTCTCGACCTTGTGATCCACCCGCCTCGGCCTCCCAGAGTGCTGGGATTATGTAGAAATTCTTGCAGTTGTGTATTCAGATCCTTCATCTGCTGAAATCTGTTTCGAAAACTTTTTTAAAAAATTTCTGTACTTATATATTCCTGTGGCCAAACTATGCTTTCGATTCTAGCAGTTTAAAGAGGTTTTCAGGGCAGGTGTGGTGGCTCAGGCCTGTAACCAGCACTTTGGGAGGCCAAGGTGGGTGGGTCACTTGCACTCAGGAATTCAAGATCAGCCTGGCAACATAGCGAAAGCCCATCTCTACAAAAAATAAATAGCCAGGCATTTGGGCACATGACTGTAGTCCCAGCTTCTGGGGAGGCTGAGATGGGAGGATCGCTTGAATTCAGGAGGTCCAGGCTGCAGTGAGCTGAGGCGGCATCACTGCATTCCAGCCTGGGTGACAGAATGAGACCCTGTCTCAAAGATATACATAAATAAATAAATAAAGATGTTTTAATATGGGTTAGTGAAAGCTCCTTCTCACTGTCCTTTCTGAAAAATTTCTTGGCTCTTCTCTGACATTTATTTTTCCATTTGAAGTTGAAAATTATTCTGTTTTATTTAAAATAGGGTAAGCACCTCTAAACGTCCTCTCATACCCCCTCCTTCCCGGGGCTGTATTGAATTAATGTGTTAATTCGTGACAAGTTGACTTACTGTTAGTTTTTCCGCTTATTAGAGTCCCACTCTGTGCCCAGGATGGAGTGCAGTGGCGCAATCACAGCTCACTGCAACTTCTGCCTCCTGGGTTCAAGCGATTCCCCTGCCTCAGCCTCCTGAGTAGCTGGGACTACAGCCACCCTCCACCACTCCTGGCTAATTTTTGTATTTTTAGTAAAGAGTGTTTCACAATGTTGGCCAGGCTGGTCTCCAACTCTTGACCTCAGATGATCACCCCCCTCGGCCTACCAAAGTGCTGGGATTACAGGCGTGAGCCACGAGACCCGGTTTACTTTCTAATTTTAATGGGTATAGAGTTCACATAGTAGTATCTTTATGGTGCAATTGGGCTTTGGTGAATATCTAGATTGTGTTTGGTTAGTCCTTTCTATTCCTATTTCCTTCACTTTCTATTTGAACTTTCACCCCCTCATGCTCCTGGATGGTTAATCAATTACAGGATTGACTTATTCAAGAAACACCTGCCCCATTCAGGGACTCAGGAGTCCAGACCCTCAGCCCCTCCTCCCTTGGGAAGTTAAGCATTACTGTCTTCAAAATCTAGCTCCCTCCTGAAGGAGGGAGGTGGCCAGGTGAGGTGGCTCATAGCTGTAATCCCAGCACTTTGGGAGGCCAAAGTGGGAGGATCCCTTGAGCTCAGGAGTTAGAGACCATTCTGGGCAAGATGGCAAGACCTCTGTCTCTGCCAAAAATTATAAAATCAGCTGGGCATGGTCGTGCCTGCCTGTGTTCCCAGCTGCCTAGGAGGCTGAGATAGGTTGATCAAGACTAGTGAGGTGTGATCGTGCCCCTGCACTCCGGCCTGGGCGATAGAGAGACCCTGTCTCAAAAATTAGGCTGCTGCGGTGGTCCATGCCTGTAATCCCAGCACTTTGGGAGGCCAAGTTGGGAGGATTACTTAAGGCTGGGAGTTTGAGACCGCCCTGGCCAACACAGCAAGACCCCCATTTCTAAAATAAATACATAAGAAAAAGAAATGACAGGCTAGGCGCTGTGGTTTACACCTGTAATCCCAGCACTCTGGGAGGCCAAGCATGGCGGATCACAAGGTCAAGAGATGAAGACCGTCCTGGTCAACATGGTGAAACCCTGTCTCTACTAAAATAGAAAAAATTAGCTGGGTGTAAGCTACTTGGGAAGCTGAGACAGGGGAATCACTTGTAGTCCCAGCTACTTGGGAAGCTGAGACAGGGGAATCACTTAAACCTGGGAGGTGGAGGTTGCGGTGAGCTGAGATCGCACCCCTGCACTCCAGCCTGGGCAACAGAGCGAGACTCTGCCTCAAAAGAAAAGAAAAGAAATGACAATTCCAATAAACAGAGGATTAGGAAAAGGCTGATGTTTGCCCCAGGGACTCCTGGGAAATGTGGTTTTCTCCTATCTCTAGCAAAGGCTGATGGGAGGTAACCAAGCCCCCTTCTCTTCTTGCCTCAGGGACTGGAATTGACATCCCTGTCCTGCTCCTCCTGATTGATGGTGACGAGAAGATGTTGATGGTATAGGGGCCTGGATGCCTGGGTCTAAGAGGGAAGAGGGTGGGGGCCAGGACTCCTGGGTCCTGAGTCTTGGGGAGGGTCTGGGAGTCTGACCCCGGGTAGGGTGAAGAACCTGCCTTCTCTGACATGACTCTCCCCTTTATTCTGTAGCAAATAGAGAATGCCACCCAGGCTCAGCTCCCCTGTCTCCTGGTGGCTGGCTCTGGAGGGGCTGCAGACTGCCTGGCGGAGACCTTGGAAGACACTCTGGCCCCCGGGAGTGGGGGAGCCAGGCAAGGTGAAATCCAAGATCGAATCCGGCGTTTCTTTCCCAAAGGGGACCCTGAGGTCCTGCAGGCCCAGGTAGGACATTAGGGGCTCAACTCTGGATCCTGAGATGGGAGGGAACTCGGGATTTGGGCTGCTGGGTCTGAAGGAAGCGGGGCTGGGGGTTGGACTTCCAGGTTCAGAGAACGTGCTGGGCGCCTAGACTGTTAGGTCCTACAGAGCAATGGCCTCCTCCCTCCCTTTGGACAGGGCCCGCAGGATGGGGATGGGGCCTGGCTAGGGATGCAGAGTTTGCTGTTCCACAGGTGGAGAGGATTATGACCCGGAAGGAGCTCCTGACAGTCTATTCTTCTGAGGATGGGGCTGAGGAATTCGAGACCATAGTGTTGAAGGCCCTCGTGAAGGGTAAAAGTTGTACCCTCCGGCCCTCTCTTTTCTCAGTTCAGCAGCTTCCCCGGCCTGCCTGGGCACTTCATCCACCTGCTCTAATCTGAGGCCTATGGCCCCCTTCCCTCTCTTATGGCTTGACCTTTGGGGCTTTGCATGGTGTTATGTGGGCAGCTTTCCCACATACTTTGATGATGTTTCATTATCCAAGGGGCACATCGAGCTTTCCATCTCTTCACCCACCCATCTTTCCAGTCATCCTTCGTTCCTCCACCCATCTATCCTTTCACCTGTCTATCCACACATACACTGACAATTCCATCCACCCACCCGTCCCTCTATCCATCCATCCATCCATTCTTCCATCCATCCATCTTCTCACCTGTCCATCCACAGATCACTGACAATTCCATCCACCCACCCGTCCATCCATCCATCCATCCATCCATCCATCCATCCGTCCATCCATCCGTCCATCCACCCACCCGTCCATCCATCCATCCATCCATCCGTCCATCCATCCATCCATTCTTCCATCCATCCATCCATCTTCTCACCTATCCATCCACAGATCACTGACAATTCCATCCACCCACCCGTCCATCCATCCATCCATCCGTCCATCCATCCATCCGTCCATCCATCCATCCGTCCGTCCATCCACCCACCCGTCCATCCATCCATCCATCCGTCCATCCATCCATCCGTCTTTTCACCTATCCATCCACAGATCACTGACAATTCCATCCACTCCTTCTAGCCATCCATCTTTCATCCATTTAGCCATCTAAACGCTGGATTCGATCTACCTGTCCATCTTTTCATTCATCCATCCAATGTTCTTCCATCTATGCATCCACCTACCCGTTCTTCCTTTCCTACCTGCCTCTGTGTGAAGCACTCTAGTTAGAATGAACAAAGCACTGTCTCCCAGTGAAGAAGTCCAAATATTTCACTAGGAATGGCAGCCTGAAGGACTGAATGATGAAAACCAAGGCGGGAGCATAATGGAAGAGGCTGGGGTGCGGGGAGGGTCCTTATTTATTTATTTATTTATTTATTTATTTATTTATTGAGACAAGGAGTTGCTCTGTAACCCGGGCTGGAGTGCAGAGGCTGTCATGGGGTTCCTTTACTTATTTATTTATTGAGACAAGCTGTTGCTCTGTAGCCTGGGCTGGAGTGCAGTGGTGTGATCATGGCTCACTGCAGTCTCCACTTCCCAGGCTCAAGTGATCCTCTCACCTCAGCCTCCCGAGTAGCTGGGACCACACCTGCCTGCCGCTACACCTGGCAAATTAAGTTTTTGTTTACAGGCTGTGGTAGGGTAGAAAGAGCAGTTACTTTCGACTTTGGAATCAGACGAAGCTGAATTTAAATACCAGCTTGGGCCGGGCGCAGTGACTCACGCCTGTAATCCCAGCACTTTGGGAAGCTGAGGTGGGTGGATACTTGAGGTCAGGAGTTCGAAACGCCTAGACAACATGCTGAAACCCCATCTCTACTAAAAATATAAAAATTAGCCAGAGGGGCAAGTGCCTGTAATCCTAACTACTCGGGAGGCTGAGGTAGGAGAATTGCTTGAACCTAGGAGGGAGAGGCTGCAGTGGACCCGAGATGGCGCCATTGCACTCCACCCTGGGTGACAGAACGGGACAAAACCCAACAAACAAAAAAACCGGCTTGGCCCCTTCCTTGCTGTGTGGCCTTCAGAAAGTAGCTTCCCCTCTCTGAGCCTCAGTTTCTCTGGAAAATGGGGATAGTATTTTGCAAGAGTGTTGTAAGTCTCCAAGACAAGGTGTAAGTTGTGCCTCCTCCCTGGTGGGGGCTCAAGAAGAGGGAGCTCTTCTTTTTTTTTTTCTGGAGACGGAGTTTCGCTCTTGTTACCCAGGCTGGAGTGCAATGGCGCGATCTTGGCTCACCACAACCTCCGCCTCCTGGGTTCAAGCAATTCTCCTGCCTCAGCCTCCTGAGTAGCTGGGATTACAGGCACGCGCCACCATGCCCAGCTAATTTTTTTGTATTTTTAGTAGAGACGGGGTTTCACCATGTTGACCAGGATGGTCTCGATCTCTTGACCTTGTGATCCACCCGCCTTAGCCTCCCAAAGTGCTGAGATTATAGGCGTGAGCCACCGCACTGGCCGGGAGCTCTTCTTAATATGATTCGGTTTCCTCTGGGGGCACATCCTTCAATATAAGATAACTCTCAGTAGGCGAATCCAATTCACTCTGCGGAGGTTAACCTGGCAGCCTCCTGGGAGAAAATAAGGCAGTTCTGTACGATGTGGTTTGAGGGGGTGGAGTTGTGGGCCCGGCAGAAGTGGAAGTGATCGCAGTTCACTGGGGAAATTCGAGATGGCTGATGGGCTTGGGGATAGCAGAGTTGAATGGACGGAGTTTCAGCAAGAAGGAGGAGGCAAGGTCATGAACGCTTCTTAAGAGTCTAGTGAGGGCTGGGCGCGGTGGCTCAAGCCTGTAATCCTAGCACTTTGGGAGGCCGAGGTGGGTCAGGAGTTCAAGACCAGCCTGGCCATCATGGTGAAACCCCATCTTTGAAAAAAAAAAAAAAGTCTAGCATAGGCCGGCCCGGCGCTGGGGAGCTGGGGTGCTCTTCTCTCCTTCGTCTCCCTTCCCTGCCTGCAAGGATTTTCACCCCATTTTGCAGCTGAAAACACTGAGGCTCAGAGAGAGGAGAAATGGCTTGCCCAAGGTCGTCAGCTCGTAGCAGGGACCAGGCTTTTCCTGCAAGTCTGTATAATTCTCAAGCCCATTGCAAGGGGCGTGTTGGGAGAGAGGTCAGGGGCTCACAGGGTTGATACGTAGCACTGGCATGAGGGGATTGTTGGTGACAAGGCCAGTGAGGCGGGTGGGTGGGGGGTCCAGGTGACAAATGGTGCCAGATTAAGACAGGATATAAAGCAAGATATTATTATTATTATTTATATATTTTTTGAAGGTGGAGTCTCACTCTGTCACCCAAGGCCGGGGTGCAGTGGTGCGATCTCAGCTCACTGCAACCTCTGCCTCCCGGGTTTAAGCTATTCTCCTGCCTCAGCCTCCCAAGTAGCTGGGACCACAGGTGCATGCCACCACGCCCGGCTAATTTTTTGTATTTTAGTAGAGACAGAGTTTCACCATGTTGCCCAGGCCGAGCTCAGGAGTTCAAGACCAGCCTGGACTTCAGATGGCAGGCAGAGGAGCTAAAGGCTGTCCTTGAGATGCAGCAGAGGGCCAGGGTCAGTTGTGTGGATGAAAAAGACTCTGATGCCGAGCATGGTGGCTCATGCCTATAATCACAGCACTTTGGGAGGCCAAGGAAGGAGGTTTGCTTGAGCCCAGGAGTTTGAGACCAGCCTGGGCTCAAGCAAACCTCCATAGTGAGACCCCATCTCTATAAAAAAATTAGCTGGGTGTGGTACTGTGTGCCTGTAGTACCAGCTACTCAGCAGGCAGAGGCAGGAGGATTGCTTGAGGCTGGGAGGTCTCAAGGCTGAAGTGAGCTGTGCTGGTGCCACTGCACTCCCGCCTGGGTGACAGAGGGAGACCCTGTCTCAAAAAACAAAAACAACAAAAGGCCCTCTGTGAGTTGGTGGGGGCAGACTGGAGAGGAGAGAAGAGGCTGCAGGGATGGTGGTGGTGGGAGGGGGCGAAGCTTGAGCTGCAGCTGGGGCCAGGGGACAGCAGGGGAGGCTCAGCAGAGAGTCAGGAGGGTGGACCTGGGACACGGAGCTTGGGGGCTGATGGCCTGTGATGTGGGGGACGGGAGGGGACAAGGACAGTACCTGGGGGTCTGTCTCATTGACTGGGTGGATGGAGGGGCCTCTCCTGGGATGAGGACATAGGGAAGATGGGTTTGAGGGCTAGACGCTGAGTTGAGTATGGGACATGGTGAGTATGAAGGGATGGGGTGGGGACAGGGTCGGGTGTCCAGGTGACAAATGGTGTCAGATGAAGGCAGGATATAAAGCAATATATTATTATTATTTATATATGTTTTGGAGACGGAGTCTCACTCTGTCACCCAGGCTAGAGTGCAGCGGTGTGATCTTGGCTCACTGCAACCCCCACCTCCCGGGTTCAAGTGATTCTCCTGCCTCAGCCTCCCAAGTAGCTGGGACTACAGGCAGACGCCACCGTGCCTGGCTAATTTTTTGTATTTTAGTAGAGACGGGGTTTCACCATGTTTCCCAGGCTGGTCTCCAACTCCTGAGCTCATGGAATCCACCCACCTCAGCCTCCCAAAGTGCTAGAATTTCAGAGAGCCATCACGCCCAGCCTATAAAGCAAGATATTATAAACTATTTTCTTTCCTTCTTTGGAACCATGGGGAAGGCAGGGGAGCTTCATAGACTCGTAGAAAATCACAGAAAAGCCTGCTCTGAATGGACATCTGGGCTTTGGAGAAGCACATAAAGCCACGTGGTCTTCGCCACGTTTCTGCCTTTCCTGGGGGTTCTGCTTCCTCAGCTACAGCCTTAGAGATGACACTGGCCAGGCTGCAGAGTCAGCGTGGAACTTCTTCCCACAGTTACTATCACTGATCACGGTGCTATGAAGGGGGTGCCACTGTTCCCACTTAATAGTTGAGGAAACCGAGGCTCTCAAGGTTCAATGGCTTGCCTGAAGTCAGTCAGTCAGTGTTGGCGGACAGGGGATTGGAACCCGTGTCTGCCTGCCCCAGAGCCCAGCGCTCATCTCCACTACAGGAGATTATGTCTTCCTGTGCTACCAGTTTTTGGAGCAACTGAAATGAGATGAATTTGTTTTGGAGATAGATTTGGAGCAAGTGAAGGCAGAAGGAAAACCTAACTCCATGTCATAACAGATGCCCTTCAGGACTTTTCATGCCCCGGTTGACTGTACGTGTTTGGATCCCCTAAATAGCTGGATTGAGTTTTTAAAGGTTGCTTGTTCTCGCTTGAGGTTTCAGTGCCCTCCAGGGTCTCTCGGAATCACTTTCATGTTCAGATTTTTTTCCAATCTCATTTTCTGCTGTCGTCGCCTCTTTCCCTTACAACATACCCCGTTTCAGAAATCAGAGTGACTCTCATTTGTCATCGGCTGCTGTGTTTTCTCGTACCCCACCTTGGCTTCTGCTGTTCCTGCTGCTTTGTACGCTCTTTTCCCACCTTAGACACACACCTCCCGATGCTGGTAGTCTTTCAAGGTGCTGCCTCAACACGTCTCCTCCAGGAGCTCTCTTGGGCCACTCTATACCTCTGTGACCGTAGCCTCTTCTGAGCCCTCATCATATTTACCCACCTCTGAGGGCACCATGCACTCTGAGGGTAGTTATATGTTGGGGAGACATATTTCCCCTGATAGAACCAGCTCCTTCAGGGTAGAAACTGTATCCGACTTCTCTCTCCATCCCCTCTACTGCCTGGTCCATAACATACCTCAATAAATACTAAATGAATAAGTGATTCCCTTTCTTTCTTCTTGGGGGCTCTAGCTAGTGGTCTGTGCTCTGGCCCTCAGCCAAATGACTTTATGCCTATGATAACCTGACTGCTTAAAGACCCCCATGCTCTGCCCAGTAGCACCCCCTTTACGCAGAGTTTAAAAGTCAGGCATGCAAAATAGAAATAAAATAAACCTTCATCAGATGTCCCTCCTCCCCTGACTTCCTTGACCCTTCTCCCTCTCATCCTTCCAGCCTGTGGAAGCTCAGAGGCCTCAGCTTACCTGGACGAGCTGCGTTTGGCTGTGGCTTGGAACCGTGTGGACATTGCCCAGAGTGAACTCTTTCGGGGGGACATCCAGTGGCGGGTGAGGGGTCAGGGCCTGAGGGTTGGGCATCCTGGCAAAGGGACTGTGCTCTCCTCCCTCCCTGTCTTCTTGGGCACCCCTCCACCCTGCCTTACATTATGGCCTGTCCAGCCTTCCCGTAACTGTCCATCGATCTCTGATTGTCCATCTGACCTCTCCTGTTTCCTCTCTCCCCATCCATCTACTGTCCGTCCATCTATCTATCCACTCTGTATGTCCATCTATCCATCATATTTTCATTCATCCATCTGTTCATCCATCCACCCATCCATTTGTCCATCCATTCATCCATCTGTCCATCCAGCCATCCATCCGTCTATCCATCCATCCATTCATCCATAGTTCCATCCATCCATCCGTCTGTCCATCCATCTGTCCTTTCGTCCATCCATCCATCCATCCATCCATCATCTATCTGTCCATCCATCTGTCTGTCTGTCCATCCATCCGTCTATTCATCTGTCCATCCATCTATCCATCTGTCCATCCATCCATCCATCTGTCCATCCATTCATCTATCCATCCATTCATCCATATTTCCATCCATCCATCCATCTGCCCATCCATCCATCCATATTTCCATCCATCCATCCATCTGTCCATCCATCCATCTGTCCATTCATCCATCTGTCCATCCATCCATCCATCCATCCACCTATCCATCCATCCATCAATTCATTCATCCACCCATCCATCTGTTCCTCATACCCTTGTAACCCCTGTCTCTTGTCCTCAACCTTTGAGCTAATCTCTTCCCCCATTCATCCCACCCCTGCCAGTCCTTTCATCTCGAGGCCTCCCTCATGGACGCCCTGCTGAATGACCGGCCCGAGTTCGTGCGCTTGCTCATCTCCCACGGCCTCAGCCTGGGCCACTTCCTGACCCCAACGCGCCTGGCCCAACTCTATAGCGCGGCGCCCCCCAACTCGCTCATCCGCAACCTTTTGGACCAGGCGTCCCACGGCGCAGGCACCAAAGCCCCAGCCCTAAAAGGGGAAGCTGTGGAGCCCCAGCCCCCTGATGTGGGGCACGTGCTGAGGATGCTTCTGGGGAAGATGTGTGCACCGAGCTACCCCGCCGGGGACACCTTGGAACCTCACCCAGGCCAGGACTTCGAGGAGAGTGTAAGGACTGTGCAAAGCTGGAGTGGGGACCCCTGGAGGGACATGGAGCAGGACTACATCAGGGACGGGGCATGGCCAGAGCAGGGGGTGTGGCCAACCAGGGGCAGAGGTGGCAGTGGCCAGTGTTGGGGAGTGGCTAGTCCTCACGACACCTCCTTTTGCTGGTAGATGTGTCTACTCCTGGACAAGGCCCCCTCAAGGCCCTCGCTGGATGCTGGCCTTGGGCAGGCCCACTGGAGTGACCTGCTCCTTTGGGCACTGCTGCTGAACAGGGCACAGATGGCCATGTACTTCTGGGAGAAGGTGAGTGGTGACTTAGTGCTCCCGCATCCCTGTCCTTTAGCCCACTGGATGCCAGTGTTCACCATGCAATTCCCAGACCCCTTACATTACCTGATAGCTGCCCCATCCTCCATCCCTGATAAATGCCTCCAACTGCTTCCTTTTTCTTTCTTTCTTTTTTTTTTTTTTTTTGAAATGGAGTCTTGCTTACTGTCCCCCAGGCTGGAGTGCAGTGGCACAGTCTCGGCTCACTGCAACCTCCACCTCCCGGGTTCGAACGATTCTCCTGCCTCAGCCTCCTGAGTAGCAGGGATTACAGGTGCATGCCTCCATGCCCAGCTAATTTTTGTATTTTTAGTAGAGATGGGGTTTCACCATGTTGGCCAGGCTCATCTTGAACTCCTGACCTTGTGATCCGCCCACCTCGGCCTCCCAAAGTGCTGGGATTACAGGTGTGAGCCACCGTGCTCGGCCTGCTTCCTCTTTCTTTTCTCTCTCTCATATCATGCATTATTTTTAAATTTTTATTTATGTATTTTTTGAGATGGAGTCTCACTCTGTTGCTCAGGCTGGAGTGCACTGGCGTGGTCTTGCCTCACTGCAAGCTCCACCTCCCGGGTTCGAGTGATTCTCCTGCCTCAGCCTTCTGAGTAGCTGGGATTACAGGCGTTCGCCACCACTCCCGGCTAATTTTTGTACTTTTAGTAGAGACGGGCTTTCACCATGTGGGTCAGGCTGGTTTTGAACTCCTGAACGCATTATCTGTCTGCTTCGGCCTCCCAAAGTGCTGGGATTACAGGCGTGAGCCACTGGGCGCAGCCCACCGTGGCTACAGATAGAAGCAGTTTTTCAATACTTAGCCACGCTGTTTACAATTCTGCTTTCGTCTTCACTTTCTGCTTGATCAGAGCCTAAAGTTCAGCTTCAGGTTTTCTCTGGTATTTTCTGAGCATGCCTCGAGCCCTAGTCATGCATCAAGCCTTCTGGATTTCCTGGTACACAAGGAAGCGTTTCAAAGCCCTTATTCCCCCAAGTATTTCCTTTCACGGCCTCTTTCTTCCCAAGCTGCTTAGTATATCTGTTGCTGCCTCTGCTGGGATTTCTTGCCTCAGGTGGCTGTGGTTAATTCATCTGCCTTAAAAGATTTTAATACACACTGCTTCTTCTCTGGGAAAGTCCTAAGGCAGGTGAAGCAAAGTCAAGCCCTTGAGGTCCACACACCACACTTTTTAGGGAGGAAGGTCTGAATTGTGCCCTCTAGTGCCAGCGACCCACACGAGGAATGTGTCTGTCTTCAAGGCTGCCTCTGAGCTGGGGATCTGGGGACTAAGTCGTTAGGTTCAAATGTCACAGTGCCCTCTTACTGAAAGTTAGTAGTTTCTTCATTAAGCATTTTCTTTTCTTTTCTTTTCTCTTTTTTTGAGATGGAGTTTCGCTCTTGTTCCCCAGGCTGGAGTGCAATGGCATGATCTTGGCTCACTGCAACCTCTGCCTCCTGGGTTCAAGAGCTTCTCCTGCCTCAGCCTCCTGAGTAGCTGGAATTATAGGCCTCTACCACCACACCTGGCTAATTTATTTATTTATTTATTTATTTTGAGACGGAGTTTCGCTCTTGTTACCCAGGCTGGAGTGCGATAGCGCGATCTCGGCTCACCGCAACCTCCACCTCCTGGGTTCAGGCAATTCTCCTGCCTCAGCCTCCTGAGTAGCTGGGATTACAGGCACACGCCACCATGGCCAGCTAATTTTTTGTATTTTTTAGTAGAGACGGGGTTTCACCATGTTGACCAGGATGGTCTCGATCTCTTGACCTCGTAATCCACCCGCCTCGGCCTCCCAGAGTGCTGGGATTACAGGCTTGAGCCACCGCGCCGGCTAATTTTTTTATTTTTAGTAGAAACAGGGTTTCATCATGTTGGCCAGGCTGGTCTCAAACTCCTGACCTCAGGTGATCCACCTGCCTTGACCTCCCAGAGTGCTAGGATTACAGGCATGAGCCACCGCGCTGGGCCTCATTAAGCATTTTCTTGTTTTTTTGTAAGTTTTGGATTAGATTCCAAAATTCTAGAAAAGTTGATTCTGGCGGTTTTTGATAGGTATTGATTGCTTTTGTGGAAAGGTAAGGTTTTGAAGTCTTCTACACTGCCAATTTTGGTCACCTCTCCAAGTGCTTTCAAAAACTTTGTTAGAGACAGGGTCTTCCTCAGTCATCCAGGCTGGAGTACAGTGGCACGATCATGGCTCATTGCAGCCTCAACTTCCTGGGCTCATTCTGTCTTCCTACTTCAGCTTCCCCAGTAGCTTGGACTACAGGAGCACACCACCATGCCTGGCTAACTAAAACAAAAAAATTTCTTTTTTTTTGTAGAGATGGAGTCTCACTGTGTTGCCTAGGCTGGTCTTGAATTCCTGGGCTCAAGCAATCCTCTTGCATTTGTAATCGTCCCGTGGGTTCACCTTGCCCACTGCCTAGACAGAGCCGATTTATCAAAACAGGGAAATTGCAGTGGAGAAAGAGTAATTCATGCGGAGTTGGCTGTGCAGGAGACTGGAGTTTTATTACTCAAATTAGTCTCCCTGAGCATTCGGGGATGAGAGCGTTTAAAGCTAATTTGGTGGATAGCGGCTTGGGAAGTGGGGAGTGCTGATTGGTCAGGTTGGAGATGGACTCACAGGAGGTCTCACTGTCTTCTATTCCTGGACAGGATGCAGAACTAGTTGGGCCAGATTACCTGTCTGGGTGTTGTCAGCGGATCCATTGAGTACAGGGTTTGCAAAGTATCTCAAGCACTCATCTTAGGTTTTACAATAGTGATGTTATCCCCAGGAGCAATCTGGGAGGTTCACACTCTTGGAACCAGAGGCTGCATGACCCCTAAACTGTAATTTCTAATCTTATAGCTAATTTATTAGTCCTGCAAAGGCAGACTGGTCCCCAGGCAAGAAGGGGGTCTTTTTGGGAAAGGGCTGTTATCAATCTGTTTCAGAGTCAAAACCAGGAATGGAATTCCTTCCCAAAGTTAGTTCAGGCTACACCTAGGAATGAGCAAGGGCAGCTTAAGGGTTAGAAGCAAGATGGAGTCAATTAGGTCTGATTTCTTCCCCTGTCATAATTTCCTCCGTTATAATTTTTGCAAAGGTGGTTTCACCTCAGCCTCCCATTGTGCTGGGATGACAGTCATGAGCCACTTTGCCCAGCCTCCAACTGGGTCTCCACCTGTCCGTGGCTGCGGGATTTATTCTACCCCCAGCCCAGCCCCTGACTTGTATCCCTGGTCTCTGAGCCACCTCCTGACTTCCGATATTTTCTTTTTTTTTTTTTTTTTTTTTTTTTGAGACGGAGTTTCACTCTTGTTACCCAGGCTGGAGTGCAATGGCACCATCTCGGCTCACCGCAACCTCCGCCTCCTGGGTTCAGGCAATTCTCCTGCCTCAGCCTCCTGAGTAGCTGGGATTACAGGCATGTGCCACCATGCCCAGCTAATTTTTTGTATTTTTAGTAGAGACGGGGTTTCACCATGTTGACCAGGATGGTCTCGATCTCTGGACCTCGTGATCCACCCGCCTCGGCCTCCCAAAGTGCTGGGATTACAGGCTTGAGCCACCGCGCCCGGCCTTGACTTCCGATATTTTCAACTGACATTCAGTTTCTTCCAGATCCATCTCCAAACATGACTTCATCTTTGGCCTCTGATGACTCCAGTTAGCTTCTGACCTCTGGCTCTGTCCCTTCCCTTGACCTCAGGCTTTCTCCCCCTCTGTGACCCCTCTCTGACCCATTCATGCCCTCTTTGTCTCTCCAGGGCTCCAATGCAGTTTCCTCAGCTCTTGGGGCCTGTTTGCTGCTCCGGGTGATGGCACGCCTGGAACCTGATGCTGAGGAGGCGGCACGGAGGAAAGACCTGGCAACCAAGTTTGAGGGGATGGGCGTTGGTGCGTGGGGCATGGTGCCTGGGAGCAGGGATGGCTCCTCACATATCCCTGTGCCATCCCCTTAAATTCCCTTTCCTCTCCCTTCACACCCTCACCCTACTCCTTCCCAACCCTGTCACATAACTAACAACTTACCCCTAGACCTCTATGGTGAGTGCTATCGCAGCAGTGAGGTAAGGGCTGCCCGCCTCCTTCTCCGTCGCTGCCGGCTCTGGGGGAATTCCACTTGCCTCCAGCTGGCCATGCAAGCTGATGCCCGTGCCTTTTTCGCCCAGGATGGAGTACAGGTGAGTATCTGCAACACCAACGTCCCAAACAGTCTCCAAGCCGACTCTGGGAAGTATGGGGATGAGCCTCTGCCATTGGGAACGGCCATGGTCTGGACCAGCCCCTCTCCCTGGAGACTACCCAGAAAGTCTCTCTTCTCTCTCAGAAAGGCTGCTCTTCCCATAAGAAGCCTCACTCCCTTCCACCAAAAGCCAACCTTCCCATGGCAAAGCCCATTTTCCTAAAAAGTTCTACTCCAGATAGAGAAACTCTTGATGACCCTATCAGGAAGTTCTACCTTTAACCTAGGAAGTCCTTCCTGCTTCCACAGAAGAGCCCATTTCTTTCAAAGGAAGTCCTAGTTCATCCACAGGAAGTCCTGCCTCATCCATAGGAAGTCCCGCCTCATCCACAGGAAGTATTTTCCACTTCCTTTAGAGGTCCCTAGTTCCAGTTCTCAGCAATTAGAATGGTCTTACTGGACAATCACATATATATATATATATATGGTTGTTTTTTTTTTTTTTTTTGGACATAAAGTTTGGCCTAGGAAATCTCACCCTTCCTATAGGAAATCATCTCCCTTGGGAAGCCCTACTTGCTCCCAGATCTCTCCAATTTCTCAGTATTTTTAATTTAACTCTGTATTTTAATGTTCTCAGTATTTTTAATTTAACTCTGACAGGGGCTTAGAGCCCCACCTCAGTACAGGAAGTTGTGCCCACCCAACAGAAAGTCCCATCCTCCTCTGTTGAAATGGTTTAGCTGACATTTCAAACAGCTACCCAGAGTCCCTTGCTGTGGATAGTGGTTAAACTCATGGATTCCAGCTCTACCTCATACAGGCTGTGTTTCTTTTTTTCTTTTCTTTTTTTTTTTTTCTGAGACAGAGCCTTGCTCTGCTGCCAGGCTGAAGTGCAGTACTACAATCTCAGCTCACTGCAACCACCACCTCCCTGGTTCAAGCGATTTTCCTGCCTCAGCCTCCCGAGTAGATGGGACTACAAGTGTGTGCCACCACACCCGACTAATTTTTGTATTCTCAGTAGAGATGGGGTTTCACCATGTTGGCCAGGATGGTCTCGATCTCCTGACTTCATGATCTGTCTGCCTCAGCCTCCCAAAGTACTGGGATTACAGGCATGAGCCACGGCGCCCAGCCAAGGCTGTGTTTTTTCAGGTCATTTCCTTAACCTCTCTGTGCCTCATGTGTGTCAAGGAGGAGATAATAGTAGACACCCCCTTGTGTGTCAAGCGTTGAGTGAACGAATCTACATAAAGTGCTGAGTTCTGTATCTGCCATATCGTGTCAGTAGTGTTGGCTGTTTACTGCCAGACCCTGGCCCAAGTTTTCTTTGCCTTTCACCAACATTCCCCTACCTCAGTAGTTGTGACTGTGACATTGAGCACTTGCTCTATGCTCTGAAGCTGTGGTCCAACCCTTGTTGGGTGTCTAAGGGAGGGAGCTATAGGGGAGATTTGGATCCTAATCCTGCCCACCCCCCACAGTCTCTGCTGACACAGAAGTGGTGGGGACACATGGCCAGCACCACACCCATCTGGGCCCTGGTTCTCGCCTTCTTTTGCCCCCCACTCATCTACACCCACCTCATCACCTTCAGGTCAGTCCCCTGGGGTGACGGTGATGGGAACGGGGGTGGAGTGCTCAGTTTCTCCTTCCCGCTTGCTCCGCCCACCTTTCTTTCCTGGTCTGCCCATTAGGCTCCTTCCCTGGGAATGGGACTCTCTCTCCCTCCACTAAGGGAGTGTTGTGGGAGGTGAGTTTTGGGGAGATCCTCCCTATGGTGTCTCTTGCAGCAGTTTCTCTGCCTTTCTGGCCCTGGCTCTCGAGGAAGCTCGCTTTTGGGTGACTTTAGGGGGCCACCTCTCTGTCTCTCTGCCGTGTGTCCAGGGGAAGAGGTTTGAGTTTTTCTGGAGAACTCCTCTCCACCTTCTCTTCCCCTCATTTCTCACTCTGTGCCTCCCTCCTTGCCAGGAAATCAGAAGAGGAGCCCACACAGGGGGATCTGGAGTTTGACATGGATAGTGCTGTTAATGGGGAAGGGCCTGTCAGGTGAGTGGACCCCCCAGCACTGTGTGAGGTGGAGACACCCTGGGCAGCTTCAGGACATGTGCCACTTCCACGCTGTTAGTCCCCTCTTGAGTTGCTACAAAGGAATACCTGAGGCTGGGTAATTTATAAAGAAAAGAGGTTTCATTGGTTAATGGTTCTGTAGGCTGTACAGGAAGCATAGTGCTGGCATCTGCTACTGGTGAGCCCTCAGGACACTTCCACTCATGGCAGAAAGTGAGGGAGGAGTCAGTGTATCACACAGTGAGAGCAGAAGCAGGAGTTAGAGGGTGGCCACACACTTTTAAACAAACAGATCTCATATGAACTAACTGAGCAAAAAGTCACCAAAGGGACGATGCTAAGCCATTTGTGAGGGACCCACTGCCAGGACCCAGACGCCTCCCACCAGGCCCCACCTCCAACATTAGGGATTACATTTTTCCCCCCTTCTTGCCTCCCTCCCTCCCTCCCTCCCTCCTTCCTTCCCTTCCTTCCTCCCTCCCTCCCTCCCTTCCTTCTTTATTCCCTCCCTCCCTCTCTCTTTTTCTTTCTTTCTTCTTTCTTTTTCTTTCTCTTTCTCCTTCCTTCCTTCCTCCCTCCCTCCCTTCTTCCTTACTCCCTCTCTTTTATTTCCTTTCTTCCTACTTTCTTTCTATCTTTCTCTTTCATTTCCCTTCCTTCCTTCCTCTCTCCCTCCCTCTCTCCCTCCCTCCCTCCCTTCCTTCCCCCCTTCTTTCTTTCTTGTTTTTTTCTTCTCCCTCTGTGGCCCAGGCTAGAGTGCAGTGATGCAGTCTCAGCTCAATGCAGCCTCTGTTTCCTGGGTTCCTGATCCACCTGCCTCAGCCTCCCAAGTAACTGGGACTACAGGCGTGCGCCACCACACCTGGCTAATTATTGTTTTTGTTTTGAGATGGAGTCTCACTCTGTTGCTAGACTGGAGTGCAGTGGCGCCATCTCGGCTCATTGCAACCTCCGCTTCCCAGGTTCAAGCGATTCTCCTGTCTCGGCCTCCCGAGTAGCTGAGATTACAGGTGTGCATCATTACGCCCAGCTAATTTTTTTGTATATTTGATAGAGATGGGGTTTCACCATGTTGGCCAGGCTGGTCTCCAACACCTGACCTTGTGATCCATCTGCCTCGGTCTCCCAAAGTTCTGGGATTATAGGCGTGAGCCACCACACCTAGAGATTTGGAAGGAATAAACATCCAAACTATATCACACGTCCCATCAGGGACTGAGATACTGAGGAAGCTTCCCAAATGCCAAGTTCAAGGCTTGGCTCAAGATGTGGTTCTGTCACCAAGGAGGCCATCACTAGAAACTGATTTGCTTCATGCTACAAGTACTTCCATTCCTCTGTAGCAAGCAGGATCAGTTCATTTAGGGATTTTTAACCTACTTTTCTCATGGCCCCAAGGCCCCTGCTTCTAATCACTATGCTATGGTCCCCATAAAAGTGTTTTAAAATTGAGGCCTAAGCAAATGAAATAGAATATTTATCAAACTTTCTTTTTCTTTTTTTGAGATGAAGTCTCACTCTTGTTGCCCAGGCTGGAGTGCAGTGGCGTGATTTCAGCTCAGTGCAACCTCCACCTCCCGGGTTCAAGCAATTCTCCTGCCTCAGCCTCCTGAGTAGCTGGGATTACAGGCATCTGCCACCACACTCACTAATTTTTGTACTTTTAGTAGAGATGGGGTTTCGCCATGTTGGCCAGGCTGTTCTCGAACTGCTGACCTCAGGTGATCCACCTACTTCGGCCTCCCAAAGTGCTGGGATTACAGGTGTGAGCCACTATGCCCGGCCCTTTTTTTTTTTTTTTTTTTTTTTTTGAGACAAGATCTCACTCTGTCACCCATTCTGGACTGCAGTGGTGTGACTATGGCTTCTTGCAGCCTTGACCTCCTGTGCTCAAGTGATCCTCCCCTCTCAGCCTCCCAACTAGCTGGGACCACAAGCATGTGCCACTGTACCTGGCTAATTTTTAAAAAAAAATTTTCTAAAAGTCTGGGTCTTGCTAACTCCAACTCCTCAGCTCAAGTGATCTGTCCACCTTTTGACGGGAGATCTCAGAAGTCAGAGGTTAGATACAAGAGAAAAAGCTGAGAAGGTGGTCTGGGCCTGTAATCGCAGCACTTTGAGAGGTCGAGGCGGGCAGATTACCTGGGGTCGGGAGTTGGAGACCAGCCTGGTCAGTATGGTGAAGCCCGGTCTCTACTAAAAATCCAAAAATTAGCCAGCTGGTGGTGCGCACCTGCAGTCCCAGCTACTCGGGAGTCTGAGGCAGGAGAGTCGCTTGAACCCAGGAGGCGGAGATCTCGCTCCAGCCTGTTGACAGTGAGACTCCATCTTAAAAAGAAAACAAAACAAAAAGCCAAGAAGGGGGATCTGGGCAGACTGAGTTTTGAGTTTCGGGTCAGGCAGGGTCCGACGTGGCAGTCCAGAAGTCCCCATCATGGTGGAGATCAGGACTCAGGGGTCAGAGCGAGGCCTCCTCCCTTCTCTTCTGTCCCCCACAGGCCGGGGAACCCCGCGGAGAGGACGTCGCAGGGGGTCGCACACGAGCCGGGCCGCCGGGGCTGCTGCAGGGGCTGCTGCGTGGGGCGCGGGTACCTGCGCCGCTGGGCGCACTTCTGGGGCGCGCCGGTGACGGTCTTCATGGGCAACGTGGTCAGCTACCTGCTGTTCCTGCTGCTGTTCGCGCGGGTGCTGCTCGTGGACTTCCAGCCGTCGCCGCCCGGCGGCCTGGAGCTGCTGCTCTACTTCTGGGCTTTCACGCTGCTGTGCGAGGAGCTGCGCCAGGGCCTGAGCGGGGGCTGGGGCAGCCTGGCCAGCGGGGGCCCCGGGCCTGGTCATGCCTCACTGCGCCAGCGCCTGCACCTCTACCTCGCCGACAGCTGGAACCAGTGCGACCTAGTGGCCCTCACCTGCTTCCTCCTGGGCGTGGGCTGCCGGTGAGTGCCCCGGGGTCCTGGAACCCCGGGCCCTGGCCACCTCTCATCCTCCCTGCCCACTCCGGGGTCTCCACTCCCGGGTCTCCACTTCTGGGTTCCCTGAAGCTGGGCAGCAGGTCAAGCCAACCCAGCTGACTGGAGAAAAACAAAACTCCCTAGGAAAGTTGGGCATGACGATTGCCCCAGGGTAATTGGCTGGCACCTGGAGATCCGGTTTCAGGGATGGCAGGATTTTAGAGAAAGCCCCACTGTCCGCCACTCAGCCTCTGCTATTTATTGCTAGGTCTGAAAGTTACCAGATATTTCTGGGAGGCCCTACCTTACCCCCTCCCTCCCATTCATTCGCACAGCTTGTATGTCTCAGGCCTTACCCTCCGGCTCCCAACTTTCTTTCTTTCTTTGTCTTTTTGTTTTTGTTTTTGTTTTTGTTTTTGAGACGGAGTTTCACTCTTGTTACCCAGGCTGGAGTGCAATGGCGTGATCTCGGCTCACCGCCACCTCCGCCTCCTGGGTTCAGGCAATTCTCCTGCCTCAGCCTCCTGAGTAGCTGGGATTACAGGCACGCGCCACCACGCCCAGCTAATTTTTTGTATTTTTAGTAGAGACGGGGTTTCACCATGTTCACCAGGATGGTCTCGATCTCTTGACCTCGTGATCCACCCGCCTCGGCCTCCCAAAGTGCTGGGATTACAGGTGTGAGCCACCGCGCCCGGCCTTGTTTTTGTTTTTTTTTTTGAGACGGAGTCTCGAGACTCCGTCGCCCAGACTGGAGTGCAGTGGCGTGATCTCGGCTCACTGCAACCTCTGCCTCCCGGGTTCAAGAGATTCTCCTGCCTCAGCCTCCCGGGTAGCTAAGATTACAGGCACCTGCCACTACACCTAGCTAATTTTTTTGTATTTTTAGTAGAGACGGGGTTTCGCTATGTTGGCCAGTCTGGTCTCAAACTCCTGATCTCATGATTTGCTCACCTCGGCCTTTCAAAGTAGTGGGATTACAGGTCTGTCTGTCTTTCTTTTCTTTCCTTTTCTTCCTTCTTTCTTCCTCTCTCTTTCTCTCTCTTCCTTCCTTCTTTCTTTTCTTTTCTTTTCTTTTTTTGGATGGAGTCTTGCTCTGCTACCCAGGCTGGAGTGCAGTGGTGTGATCTTGGCTCACTGCAACCTCTGCCTCCTGGGTTGAAGAGATATCTGATATTTTAGCCCTCCAAGTAGCTGGGATTTCAGGCGTGCACCACCATGACTGGCTAATTTTTGTATTTTTAGTAGAGTTGGGGTTTCACCATGTTGGCCACACTGGCCTCGAACACCTAACCTCAGGTGATCCGCCCACCTCGGCCTCCCAAAGTGCTAGGATTACAGGCGTGAGCCACTGGGACCAGCTTTTTTTTTTTCTTTGGTAGTGATGGAGTCTTGCTACGTTGCCCAGGCTGGTCTTGAACTCCTGGCCTCCCACATTGACCTCCCAATGTGCTCGGATTACCAGCATGAGCCACTGTGCCCGGCCCCCTGATTGATTTTATATTCAGGGCAGTTAAAGTCATTTCAGTTATTTTCATTTTTACTTTATGAAATTATTTCAACTTAGTTAATTGTTATTGGGCTTAGTTTTATAACACATTTGATTCCTCATTCATGTTTTGGTTCGTACTGAATTTTGTCAAAGTCTAGGGTGTGTCTGTCAATTGCCCTTGGTGCCTGTTAGCTGTTTTGTGTCCAGTTTTCCTGGGTCAGATTTCATAGCTTCAAATTTCATCAGGGAGGCTGGAATGCTCTGTCAACTTTTTTTTTTTTTTTTTTTTTTTTTTTTTTTTTTTTTCGAGACAGAGTCTCGCTCTATGGCCCAGGCTGGAGTGCAGTGGCTCGATCTCATCTCACTCCAACCTCCACCTCCTGGGTTCAAGCGATTCTCCTGCCTCAGCCTCCCGAGTAGCTGTCTTGCTATGTTGGAATTACCGGTGGGATTACAGACACCTGCCACCACGCCTGGCTAATTTTTTTTGTATTTTTAGTAGAGACGAGGTTTCACCGCGTTGGCCAGGCTGGTTTTCGAACTCCTGACCTCAGGCGATCCACCCCTCTCTGCCTCCCAAACTGTCAAGTTTTTAGTCATGAAACCCTTGGCCGTTTCTGTGTATTTCTTAGCTAAGTCTACACAAAAAACCAGTTGTGAGGAATTTTCCTCCACTGTTTTCTGTTGCTGGGACTGGGCTGTGTGGTGTTAGCTCACTTCTTCCCCAGGTTCCAGACCATATCGTTAGTTCTCGAAGCGAGGGGAAGGTGCAGGTCAGAATGTCCTTGGGAACAAATCACCTTGTCTTTGGGTCTTGCCACATGCTGTTCCCATTCCTGAAACTCTTCCCTTCTCTCCTCTGCCAAGCCAAGTCTGACCCTTCCTACAGACGTCATCTGCTGTCCCTGCCTTTGGAAGCCTTTCTTACCCTCCTTCGACCCTAGGTCCCTCTCTGGTGGTGCCCTGTGTCCTTGGATGAGGTCTGTGCAAACCTACCTTTGAAGGCCAAGGGGAGCTGAGAGGCTGAGGAAAGAGGCTGACAAATTCAGCTTCTCAGAAATAAACATTCCCTGAGGATGTATGAACAGAAGCCCTGTCTCAAGGTGGATCCCTCAGCCCACCCTCCAGAAAATAATCATTCTAATTTTTTTTTTTTTTAAGATGGAGTTTCACTCTTATTGCCCAGGCTGGAGTACGACGGCGCGATCTCAGCTCGCCGCAACCTCTGCCTCCCAGGTTCAGGCAATTCTCCTGCCTCAGCCTCCCGAGTAGCCGGGATTACAGGCACGCGCCACCACGCCTGGCTAATTTTTGTTGTTGTGGTTGTTTTGAGACAGGGTTTCGCTCTTGTTGACCAGTCTGGAGTGCAATGGCATGATCTGGGCTCGCCTTAACCTCTGCCTCCCAGGTTCAAGTGATTCTCCTGTCTCAGCCTCCTGAGTAGCTGGGATTACAGGCATGCGCCACCACGCCCAGCTAATTTTGTATTTTCAGTAGAGACAGGGTTTCTCCATGTTGGTCAGGCTGGTCTTGAACCCCCGATCTCAGGTGATCCGCCAACCTCAGCCTCCCAAAGTGCTGGGATTACAGGCATGAGCCACCATGCCCAGCCTCTGAATTTGCTTTTTAAAGATAAGACACCAGGTCTCACTAGGTTGCTCAGATTGGTCTTAGGCTCCTGGCCTCAAACAGTCGTCCCACCTCGATTTCCCTAAAATGTTAGGATTATAGGTGTGAGCCACTGTGCCCAGCTCAGAAAGTAGTAAGCCTTTTTTTGTACAACACATGCAGCTGGTTTAGAGGGTTTGTGAAACTCTGGCCACTGGGGAAGTTAGATAAGCATCTTTATGAGGGGTTATCTCTGCCACAGGCATTATTTCATGACGGAGGGGTTATCTGTACAGAGATCATGGGTCATTGAAGCCTCGCCCAAGATGTCCTGCTGCCTCAGCCTCTCGTAAGAATAGTTACGACTACAGGCACGTGCCACCGTGTCCAGCTAATTTTTTTTATTTATTTATTTTTTTTCTTTTGGTAGAGATGCAGTTTCACCATGTTACCCAGGCTATAACATTTTAAAATTTTAATTTGATATTTTTATAGAGGCATGTCTTGCTCTGTTGCCCAGGCTGGAGTGCAGTGGCATGATCATGGCTCACTGTAGCCTCAACCTCCCTGGCCCAAACCATCCTCTACCTCAGCCTCCCAAGTAGCTGCGATTGCAGGCACGCACCACCACATCTGCCGAATTTTTGTTTTTTGGTAGATACAGGATCTCAAGATCTTATTATGTGCCCCAGCTGGTATCACACTCCTAGCCTCAAGGGATCCTCCTGCCTCAGCCTCCCAAAGTGTTGGCATTACAGATGTAAGCCTTTGCACCCCGCAACACCTTTTAAATATCGGTTATTACCAAAGAAATGCAGAAATAACGGCCCCATTGAGCAAGAGGAGACAAATGAAGGACACAGAATATAAACCAAAGATTTTCCTCCACTGTTACAAGCATCCTGCTTTTCTCAGCGGTTACCTCCATCAGTAGTCTGGTGCACATCCTGTCTGTTCTTTTTCTATTCATTTACATGGACAAGTACACAGAATTCTCTTTACACCAATTACATGGTATTTATGTATCTTCTAGTAACTTTTTCTTTCTCTTTTTCGGAGACAGAGCCTCACTCTGTCACCCAGGCAGGAGTGCGGTGGCACGATCTCTGCTCACTGCAACCTCCGCCTCCCGGGTTCAAGTGATTCTCCTGCCTCAGCCTCTCGAGTAACTGGGATTACAGGCATCTGCCACCACATCCAGCTGACTTTTTGTATTTTAGTAGAGGTGGGGTTTCACCGTGTTGCCCAGGCTGGTCTCAAACTCCTGACCTTGTGATCCGCCTGCCTTGGCCTCCCAAAGTGCTGGGACTACAGGCATGAGCCATTGTGCCCAGCCTTTTTCTTTTTTTAAAAGACTGGGTCGTAAATAAAAAAAAATTAAAAATAATAATAAAATAAAAGACAGGGTCTCCCTAAGTTGCCCAGGCTGTTCTTGAATTCCTGGGCTCAAGCAATCCTCCCACCTCAGCCTCCAAAAACATTTTCTTTTTCTCTGCAGTGTGTCCTGAGATTCTTTCTATGTCAATACAGTATTTGCAAATGTACTTTATTTTTTGAAAACGCCACATCAGATTCCAGAAGAAAGAATTTTAGCCATCCTTGACTAAAGATCAGATGAGACACACTTCTTGACAGAATTTAAGGAATGTGGTGTTTTCATAAGGCAGTGAAACAAAAATTCTGACCTTCAGGAGATAGAAATCAGCCTAAGAATTTCTCAACAACATCTCTTTCATTTTCTACTCCGGATAATATGAGGGCAAGTGTTGTGGCTCACACCTGTAATCCCAGCACTTTGCAAGGCTGAGGAGGGAGGGTTGCTTGAGGCCAGGAGTTTGAGATCAGCCTGGGCAACATAACAAATCCCTGTCTCTACCAAAAATTTAAAAAGCGGGCTAGGTGTGGCGACTCACTCCGTAATTACAGCACTTTGAGAGGCTGAGGTGGGTGGATTACCTGAGGTTGGGAGTTCGAAACCAGCCTGACCAACATGGAGAAACCCCATCTCTAATAAAAATACAAAATTAGTGGGGCATGGTGACACATGCCTGTAATCCCAGCTACTCAGGCTGAGGCAGGAGAATCAATCACTTGAACCCTGGAGGCAGAGGTTTCGATCAGCTGAGATTGCGCTACTACACTCTAGCCTGGGCAACAAGAGCAAAACTCTGTCTCAAAAAAAGACAAAAAAAAAAACTGAGCCAGGCACAGCGATATGCCTTGTAGTCTCGGGTACCTGGAAAGCTGAGGCTGGAGCCCAGGAGTTTGAGGCTCCAGTGAACTATGATTGTGCACTGTACTCAAGCCTGGGTGACGGCGAGACCCTGTCTCTTTAAAAAAAAAAAAAAAGTAATATAAAAAGACTTTTTTTTTTTTTTTTTTTTGAGACGGAGTTTCGCTCTTGTTGCCCAGGCTGGAGTGCAATGGCGCGATCTCGGCTCACCGCAACCTCCGCCTCCCGGGCTCAGGCAATTCTCCTGCCTCAGCCTCCTGAGTAGCTGGGATTACAGGCACACGCCACCATGCCCAGCTAATTTTTAGTATTTTTAGTAGAGACGGGGTTTCACCATGTTGACCAGGATGGTCTCGATCTCTCGACCTCGTGATCCACCCGCCTTGGCCTCCCAAAGTGCTGGGATTACAGGCTTGAGCCACCGCGCCCGGCCTATAAAAAGACTTTTAAATTTATTTTGTATTTTTATTTTTTGAGACAGGATCTCAGCTCTGTTGCCCAGGCTGGAGTGCAGTGGTGTGATCTTGGCTCACTGCACGCTCTTCCTCCCGGGCTCAAGCGATCCTCTCACCTCAACCTCCGGAGTAGCTGGGACTACAGGCACAGGGCACCACAGCTGGCTAATTTTTATATTTTTTTTTGTAGAGATAGAGGCTGCCATGTTGCCCAGGCTAATATAAAGTTATGATCAGACAATTACTGCTCTGTTCCAGTTCTCTGCTGATGGGGTCCCCTCCCTCCCTCCGTTTCTTCCGTCCGTCCTTTTTTTTTCTCTCTCTCTTTCCCTCTCCCCACTCCCTCTCTCCCTCCCAGCTACTAGGACACTCCTCCTTTTGAGGAGAGCAAACAGAAAACTTTGTGGACACAACCTGGTGACTGGTTTTGTTCGTTTGTATTTGTTTTCTTTCTTTTTTTCTTGAGACAGAGTTTTGCTGTGTTGCCCAGGCTGGAGTAGAATGGGACAATCTTGGCTCACCGCAACCTCCACCTCCTGGGTTCAAGCGATTCTCCTGCCTCAGCCTCCTGAGCAGCTGGGATGACAGGCACGCGCCACTACATTCAACTATTTATTTATTTTTTTTTTTTGTAAAGTTGGGATTTTGCCCTGTTGACTAGGTTGATCTCAAACTCCTGGCCTCAAGTGATCCACCCACCTTAGCCTCTGAAAGTGCTGGGATTACAGGTGTCGGCCACCGGCGCCCAGCCAACAACCTGGTGACTCTTTACAAGGGACCTGACATGTCCTGAATGGTGGATGGTGATGACCCCCTACTCAAGCTTTTCTCAGTAGACACACGGAGAGGCAGGCTTCCTCTAAGCTGCGTTACGAAGTGATTCAACATAAATAATTTCTTTAAGCAGGGAACAAGATATGAGAGTTTCGCAGAACACGAATACTTCCGTTTATCCTTTGTTGTATTTGGATAAAGTGATTTTTGAGATGAAAGCGCTAAGGCCATTTGCTACCGTGCTCTAGGATTGCCAGCGATATTTTGGACAGTTTATCAAGCCCAGCACTTTCGAAGTGAAGGAAGCAGCATTACATGAGAAAAATGGAGAGATCTCAGCTTACAAGAGAGAAATGTCTAATCATCATCAGAACTGAATGGATGAATCATCCTTATTTGCCAATTCCCTCTACATGGACACTTAGGTTATTTCTCCTCCTCCTCCTCTTCCTCCTTCTCCTTCTTCTTCTTCTTCCTTCCTTCTTTCCTTTTTTTTTTTTTCCCAATCAAATGGCCTTGCTGTAGTCTTTCTTCTTTTTTTGTTTTAAATAAGATGAAGTCTCACTGTGTTGCCTGGGCTGGTCTTAATTTCCTGGGCTCAAGCAATACCTCCTCTTTGGCTTCCCAAAGTGCTGGGATTACAGGCTTGAGCCGCCGTGCCCAGCCCTGTTTATAGGATTATTATTCCAGAATAATAAAAGTTTACATCCCAGATGTAAAGTTCCTGGGTCAAAAGGTACATATATTCTTGACATGATAAGATTTCCTGCGAAGTAGCTTCACCCATTTCCACGCCTACCATCAGGGCGAGAGAGTGCCCCCTAGAGGACATGCTCGACAATGCCTGATACTTTGACTTAGAATGTAGCTCTCCTAGTTCTAATTTATGCACTCTTGACTTCCAGGTAGGTAGGACATCTTTTCCTAAGCTTAAAGGTCACATGTACTTTTGTCAGTTGTCTTCTTTGCACCCCAATTTTTAAAATTGGGGTTCATTGATTGTATATGTAATACATATAAAATCATATATATATTTATATATGAGGATATTATACATACATATATATATATTTACACATATGTAAGTGTGTCGCTGTTCTCCTTGTACTCTGGATCCTAATCCCTGGTAGTTTTGTTAGTCTTTTTTTTTTTTTTTTTGCGACGGAGTTTCGCTCTTGTTACCCAGGCTGGAGTGCAATGGCGCGATCCCGGCTCACCGCAACCTCCGCCTCCTGGGTTCAAGCAATTCTCCTGCCTCAGCCTCCTGAGTAGCTGGGATTACAGGCACGCGCCACCATGCCCAGCTAATGTTTTGTATTTTTAGTAGAGACGGGGTTTCACCGTGTTGACCAGGATGGTCTCGATCTCTTGACCTCGTGATCCACCCGCCTCGGCCTCCCAAAGTTCTGGGATTACAGGCTTGAGCCAAGTTTTGTTAGTCTTAATGTCTTCATCTCTTCTCGAAGTTTGTGGCTTGTCTTTTCACTTTCACTTTTTTTTTTTTTTTTTTTTTTTTTTTTTTTTTTTTTTTGAGACAGAGTCTCACTCTGTCGCCAGGCTGCAGTGCAGTGTCATGATCTTGGCTCACTGCAACCTCCTCCTCCCGAGTTCAAGCGATTCTGTTGCCTCAACTTCCCAAGTAGCTGGGACTCCAAGCACGTGCCACCACACCGAGCTCATTTTTGTATTTTTAGTAGAGATGGGGTTTCACCAGGTTGGCCAGGATGGTCTTGATCTCTTGACCTCGTGTTCTGCCCGCCTCGGCCTCCCAAAGTGCTGGGATTACAGGTGTGAGCCACTGCACCTATCCATGTACTAGGTTTTTAATCCATCCAAAGTTTAAATACTTGAGGATGCAAAATAGGGGTAGAATTGTTATTTTCGCCACGGGAATGACTGCTGTTTACTGGCCATTTGAAGTTCCTCTGTGAATTGTACTTGGTATCCTTTATCTGGCTTCCTTCCTTTTGTTTATTGGTTTGCATGGTCTCTGTATGATTTGCCTTTTATAGATTGGACAGCTATTCTGGCAGTTTTTCCAGCTTGATTCTTAAAAGGACCAGCTCTTTGCTGAGACCATTGTTCATCAGTCATTACTGAATAGGTACAGCCATTTTATTTCTTCTTCTTCTTCTTCTATTTTTTTTTTGAGACAGGGTCTCGCTCTGTCACCCAGGCTAGAGTGCAGTGATGTGATCTCAGCTCGCTGCAACCTCCGCCTCCCAGGTTCAAGCGATTCTCCTGCCTCAGCTTCCTGAGTAGCTGGGATTATAGGCGCCTGCCACCATGCCCAGCTAATTTTTGTATTTTTAGTAGAGACGGGGTTTTACCGTGTTGATCAGGCTGATCTCGAACTCCCGACCTTGTGATCCCCCCCACCTCGGCCTCCCAAAGTGCTGGCATTACAGGCGTGAACCCCCGTGCCTGGCTGTGCAGCCATTTTAAAAATAGGTCCCAGGGCCCTGTGTGGACCAGCACTGAGTCCACGCAGGGACTGAGTCTCTGTCCCCACTCCCTGGGACTCTGTACCCCTGTTTCTAAGAAAATGCCTCTGTCTCTCTGAGTCTCTGTCTCCCTCTTTCTCTGAATCTCTGAGTGACACCCCACATCCTCCGCCATCATCTCTCTGAGTCTCTGTCCACCCCACTCCCTCTTTCTTTTTTTGAGTAAACCTCGGGTGACTTGGAGGGTCCTGGTCCTGCCCAGTGGAGGCTGCGGCTTTATCTGAAGCATGGCATTGGGGAGACTCAATTTTTCTTGGCATCTTGTGACATTTGAGTGACCCTTGCGGTATCTCCTCACACCCCAGGCTGACCCCAGGTTTGTACGACCTGGGCCGCGCTGTCCTCTGCCTCGACTTCATGGTTTTCACGGTGCGGCTGCTGCACATCTTCACGGTCAACAAACAGCTGGGGCCCAAGATCGTCATCGTGAACAAGATGGTGAGTGAGGGGCGGGGCTGAAGTGGGCAGGGCCAGAGGGAAAGGGGTGGGGCCAGGGAAGCAGCGGTGGGTGGAGAAAGGGCGTGACTTCAGGGAGCAGGGGCGTGGCTTTGGGATATAGTGGGGCCAGAGTAGGGAGGGGTGGGGCCAGAGTAGAGAAGGGCGGGGCCGGACTCAGCCACGCCTCCCCGCAGGTGAAGGACGTGTTCTTCTTCCTCTTCTTCCTCGGCGTGTGGTTAGTGGCCTACGGCGTGGCCACGGAGGGGCTCCTAAGGCCCCAGCACAGTGACCTCCCAAGTATCCTGCGCCGTGTCTTCTACCGTCCCTACCTGCAGATCTTCGGGCAGATCCCCCAGGAGGACATGGACGGTAGGGAGAGATGACAGGGCCTGACAGCCTCCCTCTAAGCTTCTCTGTCCCCGCACCCTGGGTCTCTGTACCCCTGTCTCTAAGAAAATGTCTCTGTCTCTCTGAGTCTCTGTCTCCCTCTTTCTCTGGATCTCTGAGTGACACTCCACATTCCCCTGCCATCATATCTCTGGGTCTCTATCCACCCCACTTCTGTCGTTTCCTTCTTTCTTTTCCTTACTTCCTTCTTTCTTTCTTTTCTTTATTTCTGGTTTGAGATGGATTTTTACTCTTGTTGCCCAGGCTGGAGTGCAATGGCGTGATCTCTGCTCACTGCAACCTCTGCCTCCTAGGTTCAAGCAACTCTTCTGCCTCAGCCTCCCAGGAAGCTGGGATTACAGGCACCCATCACCACGCCCAGCTAACATTTTTGTTACTTTTAGTAGAGACGGGTTTTCATCATGTTGGCCAGGCTGGTCTCAAACCCCTGACTTCAGGTGATCCGCCTGCCTTGGCTTCCCAAAGTGCTGGGATTACAGGAGTGCGCCACTGGGCCTGGCTGTCTTTCTGTCTTTGTTAGATCTTTGTCCCCTTCGCCCCATCTCTGAGTGTCTCCCTTTACAGTGGCCCTAATGGAGCCCAGCAACTGCTCATCAGAACCCGGCTTCTGGGCGCACCCTCGCGGGACCCAGGCGGACACCTGCGTCTCCCAGTATGCCAACTGGCTGGTGGTGCTGCTCCTTGTCATCTTCCTGCTTGTGGCCAACATCCTGCTGGTCAACCTGCTCATCGCCATGTTCAGGTGAGACCTGACGGCTCTCCGATCTGACCCCACCCAGCATGACCCATGACCCTCTCATGACTCTCAAATCCTGTCTAATCAATTTCTGTCTTTTTACTTCCTGAACTCTGATCAAATCTAATGCTTCCTTCTCCCCAAATCCAACCAGGCCCTTCCTGGTACAAGCGATTCTTGTGCCTCAGCCTCTGAAGGAGCTGGGACTACAGGTGCATGCCACCACACCCAGCTCAGTTTTTGAATTTTTAGTCGAGATGGAGTTTTTCCATGTTGGCCTTGAACTTTTGACCTCAAGTGATCGGCCTGCCTCAGCTCCCAGAATTGTTGGGATTATAGGCATGAGCCACTGCGCCCAGCCAACATTGTTTTTTATTGTGGTAAAATTATATAAAATTTGCCATTTTTGCTTTTTTTTTTTTTTGAGACAGTCTCGCTCTGTCACCCAGGCTGGAGGAGTCTGGTGGCACTATCTTGGCCCGCTACAATCTCCGCCTCCCAGGTTCAAGGGATTTTTCTGCCTCAGCCTCCTGAGTAGCTGGGATTACAGGTGTGCGCCACCATGCCCAGTTCATTTTTGTATTTTTAGTAGAGATGGGGTTTCGCCATTTTGGCCAGGCTGGTCCTGACCTCAGGTGATCCACCCGCCTCAGCCTCTCGAAGTGCTGGGATTATAAGCATGAGCCACCGCGCCTGGCCCATTTTTAAGTATACAAGTCAGTGACATCAATTACATTTACAGTGCTCTGCAGTGGGCTGTCGTGGCTAATGTTGGTTGGAGCATTGGCATGGAAGTATCTATTTGAACGCTTGTTTTTATTTTCTTTGATTGTATATCTCAAAGTGAAATTCCTGGGTCATATGGTAAATCTATGTTTAGCTTTTTGAGAAACCACCAAACTGGTTTCCACAGTAGCTGCACCGTTTTCTATTCTCACCAGCAGTGTATGAGGATTCTAACTTCTCCACATCCTAGCCAACACTTGTTATTGTTCTTTTGTAAAAATTACAGTCATCCAGCTGGGTGTAGCGGCTCATACCTGTAATCCCAGCACTTTAGGGGGCTGAGGTGGGAGGATTGCTTGCTGCCCAATACTTTGAGACCAGCATGGGCAACATAGCGAGGCTGCTGTCTCTACCAAAACGCAGGAAATGAGATATCACTTCACACATGCAACCTCAAGCTCCTGGGCTTAAGTGATCCTCCCGCCTCAGCCCCCCAAGTAGCTGGGACTACATTTACGTGCCACCACACCTGGGTAATTTTATTTTTATTTTTAAATTTTATTTATTTATTTATTTATTTATGATGGAGTCTCCCTCTGTCACCAGACTGGAGTGTACTGGCGCAATCTCGGCTCACTGCAGCTTCTGCCTCCTGGGTTCAAGCAATTCTCCTGCCTCAGCCTCCCGAGTAGCTGGGACTATAGGTGCATGCCACCACACCCTGCTAATTCTATGTATTTTTAGTAGAGATGGGGTTTCATCATCTCAGCTAGGATGGTCTCGATCTCCTGACCTTGTGGTCCACCCGCCTCGGCTTCCCAAAGTGCTGGGATTACAGGCATAAGTCACCACGCCTGGCCCGCTGTAGGAATTTTCACAGGGATGATGTTGAATCTGTAGATTGCTTCAGATAGTACTGATATTTCACGTAGGTGTTCTTTTTAATGCGTTTCCAGCATTATTTGGTCATTTTTAGGGTACAAGTCTTTCACCCTTTGGGTTAACTTTATTCCTAGGTGCTTTCCCTTTAGCTGCTGTTGTAAGTGGAATTGCTTTCTTAACTTCTTTTTGGATTGTTCATTACAGTGTGTAGAAACAAAACTGAGTTTTGTGTGATCTTGGACTCTGCAACTTTGCTGTATCTGTAGCTCTAGAAGCTTTCTTGTGATTCTGTGGCATTTCCTATATATAGGATCATGTCATCTGTGAATAGAGATATTTTCACTTCTTCCTTTCCAATTTGGAGGCCTCTAATTTTTTTTTTTTCTGTTTAATTGTTCTAACCAGAACTTCTAGTACAGTGTTGAATAGCAGTGGTAAAAGTGGATGGCTTTGTCTTTTTCCTGAGTTTAGGCAGAAAGCTCTCAGTCTTTCACCACTGGGTATGATGTTAGCTGTGGGTTTTTCAGAAGTACCTTTTCTCATGTTGAGGAAGTTTCTTTCTATTCCTAGTTTATGATTTTTAAAAATTATTGTGACTGGGCATGGTGGCTTATACCTGTAATCCCAATACTTTAGGAAGCCAAAAAGGGAGGATTGCTTGAGGCCAGGGGTTCAAGATCGATCTGAGCAACATAGTGAGATCCCATCTCAATAAAAAAACAAAAAATTGGCCAGGCATGGCGGCTCATGCCTTTAATCCCAGCACTTTGAGAGACTGAGGCGGGTAGATCAAAAGGTCAGGAGTTTGAGACCAGCCCGACCAACATGGTGATACCCCATCTTTACTAAAAATACAAAAAAAAAAAAAAAAAAAATTAGCCGGGTGCGATAGCGCATGCCTGTAATCCCAGCTGCTCAGGAGGCTGTGGCAGGAAAATCGCTTGAATCTGGGAGGTGGACGTTGCCGTGAGCCAAGATCACGCCACTGCACTCCAGCCTGGATGACGGAGTAAGAAGAAAAAAATAGCCAGGCATGGTGGCGCATGCCTGTAGTCCCAGCTACTCAAGAGGCTGAGGCAAGAGGATGGCTTGAGCCCAGGAGGTCAAGGCTGTGGCTGCAATGAGCCATGCTTGCACCACTGCCATGATCGTGCTGGCAACAGAGTGAAATCTTATCTCAAAAAAAAAAAAAAAAATCAGTGCAGTGTATTACATTGATTTTTGTATGTTTAACTACCCTTACTTTCCTAGGATAAGTCCAACTTGGTCATGGTGTAAAATCCTTGTAATATGCTCCTGAATTGGATTTGTTAGTATTTTTTCAGGATGTTTACATATATATTCATAACTACTTTTCTTGTGATACATTTATCTGGCTATGAGGCAATGCTGGCCTCATAGAGTGAATTAGGAAATGTTCTCTCCTTTACAATCTTTTGGACAAATTTGAGAAACATCAGTGTTATTATAATGCTTCTTTAAATGTTTGATAGAATTCATCAGCACAGCCATCCAATTTTGGGCATTTCTTCATTGAAAGGATTTTTATTCCATCTCTTATAATATATCTGTTGAGGTTTCTGTTTTTTCTTGAGTCAGCTTAGGCAATTTATGTGTTCCTAGGAATTTGTCCATTTCATGTACCTAGATTGTTGACATATAATTGTTGATAGTATTTTCTTACAGTCCTTTTTGTTTCTGTGAGGTCAGTAGTAATGTCTCCATTTTCATTTCTGATGTTAGTTATTTGTGTCTAGGCTAACTTTTGAGCCCAATTCTAACTTGACTTCAACCTCCACCTTAAGCCATGACACCATCCCCAACTTGACCTCTGATATCTGACCCTTGGCCCTTCTAAACTGACTTCGTGTGTGTGTGTGTGTTTTCTGTCTCCCAGGCCAGAGTGCAGTGGCTTGATGTTGGCTCACTGCAACCCCCACTTCAAGTGATTATCCTGCCTCAGCCTCCCCAGTAGCTGGGATTACAGGCACCCACCACCACACCCAGCTAATTTTTGTATTTTTAGTAGAGACGGGGTTTCGCTATCTTGGCCAGGCTGGTCTTGAACTCTTGACCTCAGGTAATCCACCCGCCTCAGTCTTCCAAAGTGCTAGGATTACAGGCGTGAGCCACAGTGCCCTGCCCTAACCTGACTTCTAATCGCATCCTGTAACCTCTGACTTTAGTGATCTTGACTTCTGTCCGCTGCCATGGACTTTGAACAATTATTACCTGGCATGCAACCTTGCCCCCGGCAGGGCTCTGACCTGAAGTGACCTTTGACCTCTCGCCTCTGCAGCTACACGTTCGGCAAAGTACAGGGTAACAGTGACCTCTACTGGAAGTCGCAACGCTACCGCCTCATCCGGGAATTCCACTCTCGGCCCGCGCTGGCCCCGCCCCTTATCATCATCTCCCACTCGCGCCTTCTGCTCAGGAAATTGTGGCCGCGCTCCCGCTCCCGGAGCCCCCTGCCGCCCTCCCCGGTCATCGAGCATTTCCGTGAGAACAGAGCTTGGCTTAAAAAGGAGAAATACAAGGGACCGGGAGCCTGGAAGGCAGGGGATGGGGGCGTGCCCCTAATGACTAGCGGGCGTGGCCTAGGTAGTGAGAGGCGGGGTTAAGCAGCACGGGGCGGTGCTTAAGTCCTGAGGGGTGGGGCTTACGGGTGAGGAGCGGGGCGGGTTCTCGAAACACCTGGTGCCGGGTCTGGGAGAGGGTGCTCTGATGGGACGGCTGGACTTCGGAAGGGGCGTGGCCTGAGCCCTCTGACTCCGTCCGCCCCTGCAGGAGTCTGCCTTTCTAGAGAGGCCGAGCGCAAGCTGCTGACTTGGGAATCGGTGCAAAAGGAGAACTTCCTGCTGACACGTGCTCGGGACAAGCGGGACAGCGACTCCGAGCGTCTGAAGCGCACGTCGCAGAAGTGAGGGGTGGGCCTGGTCGGGGGCGGGGCTTCTGGCCTTGGGGGGCATCCCGACTTCCGCCGAGGGGGGAAGAGGGCGGAACCTGGGAGGGAGGGAGGGCGGAGCCTGGGAGGGAGGGAGGGCGGAGCCTGGGAGGGAGGGAGGGCGGAGCCTGGGAGGGAGGGAGGGCGGAGCCTGGGAGGGAGGGAGGGCGGAGCCTGGGAGGGAGGGAGGGAGCTGGGAGGGAGGAAAGAGGCCGAGGAGCAGGCGGAGCTCCGGGTGTGGGTGGGCTGCGGTGCCCCCCGTAAGCGGCCCTCCCTTTTCAGGGTGGACAGTGCGCTGAAACAGTTGGGACACATCCGCGAGTACGAACAGCGCCTGAAAGTGCTGGAGCGGGAGGTTAGGGCTTGGGGCCTGGCTGCGGGACTGTGGCGGGGGTCGGGCAGGGGTTCGGTCTCCTGCTCTGACAACCCTCGCGCTCCCCAGGTCCAGCACTGTAGCCGCGTCCTGGGGTGGGTGGCCGAGGCCCTGAGCCGCTCTACCTTGCTGCCCCCAGGAGGGCCGCCACCCCCCGATCTGCCTGGGCCCAAAGGTCAGTGTGTAGGATGAGCCTGTGCAGCTCCAGCCTCTGTTCCTGCATTTTTTGCGTGTTTTTCTCTCTCGGCGCCTTTCCAGTGGCCCTGGGTCACTCTCTCGGTCTCCTTTGGGCATTTTGTCCTCCTGTCTTCGTGTTTCTTTTTCTTTTTTTTTTGCCAGTCTCCCAGTTTTTATATCCCTCCTTCCCCGCCAATCACCTGTTCTTTCTTCTGTCTTCCCGCTAGACTGAGCCCTGCCGGCGGACTTCAAGGAGAAGCCCGCTCTAGGGTTTTGCTCCTAGAGTAAGGCTCATCTGGGCCTCGGCCCCCGCACCTAGTGGCCTTGTCCTTGAGGTGAGCCCCGTGCCCATCTGGGCCGCTGTCGGGACCACCTTTGGGAGTGTCATCCGTACCAACCACAGCATGCGGCTCCTCCCAGAACCAGCCGCAGCCTGGGAGGAGGAAGTCCTGGAGCCCCGGCTGTAGTCCAGGGACGGGCTGGAGGGTTCTTGGGGTAACAGGGACCACAGACCCCACTCGCAGATTCCTCACACTGGGGAAATAAAGCCATTTGAGAGGAATCGTGTCCGGAGGCTTGATTCTTGGGGGAACTGGTGGGTGTCTAGATCCTTCCAGGATGGGGGCTGGAGCTGGGGTGGTGGGTTTGGGGTTCTTGATGGGTTTGCTGCTGATGATATTTTGGGGTCCCTTTCCTCCTCTCAGGCCTAGTGTTTCTGCCTGACTGAGACCCAGCACTTTCTGTCTGCACGGTTCTGGCGGCTGTCACTTCTGTAGGACAAGACCCCAGGTGTACCCCCTCCCACCCACTTTCAACTTTCCAGTGGAAAAACAACTCATTGATCATAAGTGAATTATCTCCTGAAGAGGGGCCCGGCGGGTGTTGTGGACATCTGCTTTGGCAATAGGGAAACGGGTGACACAAATTTCGATAAATGCATACGTGTCTTTAAAAAGTCTAATTAGTGGGAAATTGCAGGCTAGGCGTACACAGGGGTGAGGCAAACAGGCATGATTATACATGCAGTTTAACTAACCTGTAGCAAGCTAAACTGGTAATAACAAGGCTGAACTGACAGCAATTATTAAATAGCAAGAAAGCCACCAACAACCAACACATCCAAAAATCAAACCCCAAACATCCTTCCTCCTAATTGGAGGAGAGCCAAGTATCTGTCACTGTGGGTGCAGAGTAGCTCTAAAACATTGCCAAGTGTGGTGCTGCGACGGCGACATCTCTGGGAGATGCTGTGTTAGCTCTCACCGGCCCAAGTAGTAATAAAGTAATAATCACCTTAATGAGGATGGCACAGCAGCAACTTCCTCCCTCCGTCCCTGCCTCCCTCCTTCCTTTCTTCCTCCTCCTTCATCTCTCCCTCCTTCCTTCCTTCCTCCATCGCTGTCTCCTTCCTCCCTGCCTCCCTCCTCCCTCCTCTCTCCCTTCCCCCCTTCTGTAGGGCTGAGGGCCCCACAGGGTCGCGGGGTGAGCCTTATGCTGTGCTGAGGCGCAGGATCTGAGAAATAAAGAGACGGGACACAGAAGTACGAGGAAAATGCAGCTGGGCTCGGGGCCACGCCACCTATGAGCGGAGTCAGGCGATGCCCCGCATGTCCAGAAGCGTGAGTATTTATTGTGTATAGGTTAGGGGGCAGGGCAGTGAGTGAAATCATCTTTAAGGATAGTGATAGGGTCGTGAGCAATAAAACATGGGGTCCACCCCCATTAGGTCACCTAGGCCAGGAGGTGGACAGCGCGCAGCAAGGGGCCCGTTCCCATGAAGGCAAGGGCCGTGTGCAGTAAGGGGTCCACCCCCATTAGGTCACCGAGGCTTGAAGATGGGCCGTGCGCAGGGAAGAGGGTGCAGTGTGCAATACTTCTATCTATGGGCCAGCTACTTCTAAGAAGATGTATAGGAGGATGCTTTAAGTCCCATAGCAGTGACAGATGTCAAGGTTACCACCACCTGCTGGCAGCTTCCAATGGCTTCTATGGGAAGATGCTTTTCAAGCAGCACAGTAGCAAGAGCTGATAAGGTTCACAGTCACCAAGGTGGATTGCCGGTCTGAGGGCAGCCTCACAAGAACTGGAGCAAGGTCCTACAACTCCTTTATCAGGAGGAGTGGCTCTCGCCCCAAGCCTGCCATACAGCGGGTATCTTTACGATACTGAACGCTGCCGCCTGGGCCATGGATTCTTGTCCTGGTATAACTGTTTTTCCCTTAAATCATGCTCTGCACTGTGTCTGCTCTAGGCATTCCTCTGATTATAAGCTTCTTGTTCCTTAATTCATGCTCTGTACTGTGTCCACTCTAGGCATTCCTCCGATTATGAACTGACATATAATTATAGATATATATGTAGGGAATATTCTTTAGGCACTCATACTATCAACTATTATATGATTATATATAGAGGATTATGTAAAGGGATTCTTCAAGCCCTAATTCTATAAACTAATATATGATTATGTAAGGATTATATAAAAGGAAATAGCTGAGTAGTAACACTATAAAGTGAGATATTCTTCAAGCCCTAACTGTGCCAGGGCTCTGCTTAGCTCTCATTCCTCGGTGCCTATATGGGGGGTTTCCCACAAGGCTGGTCTCGAACTTCTGACCTCAGGTGATCTGCTGGCATCGGCCTCCCAAAATGCTGGGATTACAGGCATGAGGCACTGTGCCCCGCCACTTTTTCTGATTTTCTTTCAACAAGGTCTCACACTGTCACCAGGCAGAAGTGTAGTGATTCAGTCACAGCTCACTGCAACCTCCACCTCCTGGGCTCAAGCAATTCTCCTGCTCAGCCTCCTGAGTAGCTGGGACTACAGGCTCACACCATCATGCCCGGCTAATTTTTTGTATTTTTGGTAGAGATGGGGTTTTACCATGTTGCCTAGGCTGGTCTCAAACTCCAGGCCTCAAGCGACCCACTCACCTCAGCCTCTCAAAGTGCTGGGATTATGGGTGTGAGCCATCACGCCCGGCCAAGTACTTTCTGTATGTGTTCAGCATTGTTTTAAGTGCTTCACATGCACTAAATCAGTGAATCCTATGCTAACCATACAAGGTAGGCACTATTATTGTCTCCATTTCGCAGATGAGAAAACTGAGACAGAAAAGTGGCTCAAAGTCACACAGATAGTAAGTGGCTGAGTTGGAGGGTGGGCGGGAGGCCAGGCGGGTGGATCATTTGAGGCCAGGAGTTCAAAACCAGCCTGGCCAACATGGCAAAAACCTGTTTCTACTAAAAATGCAAAAATTAGCCAGGTGTGGTAGTGGGCACCTGTAGTCCTAGCTACTCGGGAAGCTGAGGCAGGAGAATCACTTGAACCCAGGAGGCGGAGGTTGCAGTGAGCCGAGATCGCACCACTGCACTCCAGCCTGGGCGACAGAGCCAGACTGTTTCAAAAAATAATAAAAAATCGAAAGTGGCCGAGTTGGAACAGAAATCTGGGTAATCCAGAGAGCATCTGTAATGCAGGATTTTATATTTGGAAATGTCAACTGCGGTGCCGCCACAGGAACTCACTCAGTCCACGTGTGAGTGTGAGCTTTTGTCTCTCAGCTGCAAATCCGCCCTGGTCTCAACTCTGTGGTGCTGGGGCGGAGCCTCTGCAAGCCACGTTTTTGCTTTGCCAGCTGGGTTGCTATAAGGCCCCCCCCTAAAGAGGGCGCTGTCGGAGACTGGTGATGGGAGGAGGAAGCAGGGATTTGCTCTGCCCACTTCTCCAGGCTTCCGAGCGAGCGTCGCCCCAGAACAATGCTCTGACTGCAGGGGTAGCTTCCAGGTTTTAAGTTTTCCTTTTTGGCACTTCCATAACCCGTTTCTTTTTCTATTTTTGAGACAGGGTGTCACTCTGTTGCCCAGGCTGGAGTGCGGTGCTGCCATCTTGGGCTCACTGCAGCCTCGACCTCCCAGGCTCAAGCCATCCTCCCGCCCCAGCCTCCAGAGTAGCTGGGACCACAGGTGCATGACACTACACCCAGCTAATCTTTTCTTTTCTTTTCTTTTCTTTTCTTTTTTTTGAGACAGAGTCTCACTCTGTCACCAGGCACCAGGCTGGAGTGCAATGGCACGATCTCGGCTCACTGCAACCTCCGCCTCCCGGGTTCAAGCAATTCTCCTGCCTCAGCCTCCCGAGTAGCTGGGATTACAGGCACACGCCAGCACGCCCAGCTAATTTTTTTCTATTTTTAGTAGAGATGGGGTTTCACCCTGTTGGCCAGGATGGTCTCGATCTTGACCTCGTGATCCGCCGGCCTCGGCCTCCCAAAGTGCTGGGATTACAGGCAATTATTTTTTTTAATTGTCTTGTAGAGACATACTGCCCAGGTTGGTCTGAAACTTCTGGGCTCAAGCAGTCCTTCCACTTTGGCCTCCCAAAGTGTTGTGATGACAGGCGTGAGCCACCGCACCCGATGCCATGACCCGTTTCACCATCAGCCTCCTGCCACACCAGCGCCACCCAGGTAGCCCCTGGTTCTGCCCTGGGTTTCGGTTTTGCAGGGCGGCTGCTTGAACATTTTAGGTTCTGATAACTCTGTTCTCAGTCCTGGAGTGAAAGCTGGAGCCTGCAGTTGCTATTTTTATACGGGGCGCTTGCTATTTCTGCGCTGTTTCTTCTCGTTGCTTTCACGGTTTCCTGAGACCTGTTTAGTTTATCTGAGACCTGTGTATTTGTTCATCTCTGTTGAAACATCTGTACAGCAGGAAAGCGCCAGGTCAAGTGTGTAGAAATCCGACATGAGTCATCAAGATGGAGAATTTGCACAAATTTCACACGTAAACCGATTTGGAGACCAAAAGTTCCTTAGCTGGAGAGGAGGCTGGTCCTCTTGAGGAATGACCCTAAAATAACCGCTCCAAGTTTGTATTTTGCATTTTCCCTTCAAAGGGACCTTGTCTCCATCTCTGCAGTAACTGTGTATTGGGGAAAGGAGAATACTCAGACCTTTTGGGGATTAGCAGACACTGGCCCGGGCTGTTTATTCATTTTTGAAATGCAGGCTTACTCTGTTGCCCAAGCTGGAGTGCCATGGTGTGATTACAGCTCACTGCAGCCTGGCTCAAGTGATCCTCCTGCCTCAGCCTCCCAAGTAGCTGGGATCACAGGTGCATGCCCATGACATGCCCACCTAATCTTTAAAAAAAATTTTAGGCCAGGTGCAGTGGCTCACGCCTGTAATCCCAGCGCTTTGGGAGGCTGAGGCAGGTGGATCATTGTAGCCTCCACCTCCTGGGCTCAAATGATCCTTATTAACCTCCCAAGTAGCTGGGACCACAGGCATGCACCATCACACCCAGCTAATTTTTTTTTGTTTGTTTTTTTGAGATGGAGTTTCCCTCTTGTCACCCAGGCTGGAGTGCAGTGGCGCAGTCTCAGGCTCACTGCAACCTCCACCTCCCGGGTTCAAGCGATTCTCCTGCCTCAGCTTCCTGAGTAGCTGGGATTGCAAGCACCTGCCACCACCACCATGCCCAGCTAATTTTTGTAGTTTTAGTAGAGATGGGGTTTCGCCATGTTGGCCAGGCTGGTTTGAACTGGTGACCTCAGGTGATCCACCTGT